GTTGGCGGCTGCAGCGGTCGCCGCGTCGCAAGAGGCTGGATCGGAGCCGGTCATCTTGATTCATCTGATCGGGGGGGCGCAAGACTCGAGTGCGCCAGCACTCGGGTTTGCCGACGCTCTTCGACGAGCGCGCCCGGGATTTCTCCAAATTCCGCGGGGTGTTTGCAGCGGGGGCGCTGCCGCGTTCCAGGTCGAGATCACGGTCGCCGACGACGATGATGGTGGCGAGCTCATTGTGCCATCCAGATCTGGAAGAAAGCAGGCTCGGTTTCAGCGCGCGGCGCGCCCCAAGTCCAGGGGCGGGCGGGGTTGGCAGCAGGTGGCGCGTTCACTTGGCTGGCGCACTCAGCGATTCGCGGCGGCTTTTGGATCTGGGCGATGCCCCCGCGACGGCCCCGCCCTCGCGGCGCCCCCCGCGCCCCGCCCGGCCCGGCGCTTCCAGGGCCCGCTCTTCAGCAGTGCAGTTCTTCCAGGATGTAGATTACATGGGGCGCGCGGAGGAGGTGGGGAAGGTGGCGCAGCTGGCGGAGGGGGATTATTTGAGCGGAGGCATCCGAGGCGTTCCAGAAGATAGACGCGCGGCAGTTCAGGGCCGAGTGGCGCCCGCGCGATGCCCCCCCGCACCATGCCCCCCCTGAGTCTGGTGATATCGCCGAGGGCGACTTCGGCTGCTCCCTGCTTGCGGAGGGCGGTCTGGTCTGCGATCGGCATTTGCGTTCGCGTCGGCCCCTCCACTCGCGCCGGCGCCGGGTCACTGGCGGCCAGCGCTGCGCGCCTTCGACGAGGTCGAAGTTGCCCATCACTTCTCGGAGCGTCGCGCGCTCGAGTTGCGCATCGGCGCAGAGACTGCCGCGCGCCATATCGTCGAGGCGCGCTGGCGCGGAGTGCGCAGGATTGACGCGTCGGAGTTCGATTCGCCCGATGGCAAATTGGGGCTGCGAAAGCGCGAGCATCCCAGATTGCGACGGGCCATTTGGTTCTCAAGAGCTTTTACAGTGATATTTGTTCCACGTGCACCTCTTCCTGCTCCTGAGTTTGCACGTCGCCTTTGCGGCGGCCCCCGCCCAGGAGACGTCGGGGCCGAATGGGGGCGCCGAGCGGCGCTGAGGACGAGAGAGAGGGCGGGCCCCAGAGGCAGGGGGAGACCCCGGAGGAAGCGCGACGGAGAAGGCAACGGCAAAGACTGCGTTCAAATATGATTTTGACCAGCTAGAAACGACGCAGACGGCAAAGATGGAGCGCGGCCCGCCAGTTTTGCTGAAGTTCTCGTTGAACGCAAGGCCGCGAATATGCCGCGCTCGCGCCCGCGGCGATCCTGATCCCAGAGAACGCCTTGCCCGTCCTGAAGCGCCCCGCGAGAGTGCGCGCATTGGTCGAAAATGATCAGGATCCACGCGCGAGAGGAAAATAAGTGGATGTCGAGGCCACGCTGGCGATCTCGCTCGCCCGGCTCGCGGGGGCCTGCCCCGGGGCGGGGAATTCCGCGGGGGCGGCAGTGCTTTGTCTCTTCCACGCGCGAGCGCCAAGTGCCCCGTTGCGAAGGCGCGCAGCGCCTGTTGAGATGCGGAGGTGAAGATCCTGGTGGCCGCAGACGAATTTTCGAGCGCGCCGGCCGCTTGCTTAGAGCAGCTCGGGGGGGGCGAAGCAGATAGGCGCAGCGCCGATGAATCATCTCGAGCGTGTCCTTCGGAGTGTGGACCTACGGTTGGCGCTGCGCATCAGACGCACGCGCCCGCTGATCGGTCCCTGCTGGAGCTGCGTACTGCCAGTGGCGATTCTTCGAAAGCGCGCCAGTGGATGGCCTTGAATGCAAAAAGGGGGGCGCGCGCTCGCAGACCCCCCCCCTTCCTGCCCCCCTTCAAAGGGGGGTGACTTTTTCGACCCCCCCCTTCCCCCCCTCCCCCCCCTCCCCCCCTCCCTTCTCCCGTTGAAAGCGGGGGGGGTGGGAGGGGGTGGGGCGCGGGGGCGCCCCGACCCCCCCCCCTTCCACTTGGGGGGGGCGGGGGGGGGGAGCGCCCTCCTCCCCCTCTTTGCGCCGAGCAGGGGGCTGGGGAGGGGCCCTGTCGGGTAGTGAGTAGTCCGCAGTGAGTCGTGGGTGGTGAGTAGTAGGTAGTGGGTAATGGGTAGTGGTAGTAGTGTGTAGCGCGTGGAGGTTAGTGAGTGGTGAGTAGTGGCTATTGAGTAGTGGGCGGGAAAGGCGTAGTGGGTGAGGAATTGCGAGTAGTGACTAGGGATGATTGAGTAGTGTGTAGTGAGTAGTGCATAGTGAGTAGTAAGCAGGGAGCAGGGATTAGGGAGTAGACAGTAACGAATCGCGAGTAGTGAGTAGTGTGCAGTGAGCAGAGAGTAGTGAGTAGTGAGTAGCGAGTAGCGAGTAGCGAGTAGCGAGTAGGGAGTAGCGAGTAGCGAGTAGTGGGTAGCGAGTAAGGCGTTGTGAGTAGTGAGTACTGAGGAGGGAGTAGGCAGGAGTCACCAGTGAGTAATGAGTAGGGAGTAGCGCGTTGGGAGTAGGGGGTAGCGAGTAGTGGGTAGTGAGTAGTGAGTTGTGAGTTGTGAGTAGTGAGTAGGGACTAGTGAGTAGTGAGTAGTGAGTTGGGGGTAGTGAGTACGGAGTAGGTAGTAGTGAGTAGTGAGCAGTAGGAGCGTAGTGAGTAGTGGGTAGTGAGTAGCGTATTGGGTAGCGAGTAGGGCGTAGGGAGTGGCGAGTAGTGAGTATTGAGTATGGGGGTGCTGTGTAGGGAGCAGGGAATAGCGAGCAGTGGATAGTGAGTATTGAGTAGTGGGTTGCGGGCAGTGAGTAGTGAACTGTGAGTAGTGATTACTGGATGGTGGTTGGTGGGTAGTGAGTAGTGATTTGTGATTCGTGAGTAGTGGGTAGTGAGTTGTGCTCAGGGAGTAGTGGATATTGAATAGTGGGTTGTGAGTAGTGAGGAGTTTGTAGTGAGCAGTGAGTAGTGAGTAGGGAGTCGGGAGTAGTGGGTAGTGCGTCGTGGGTAGTGAGTCGTGGGCAATGAGCAGTGAGTCGTGAGTAGTGGGTAGTTAGAAGTGAGTAGTAAGTAGCGAGTACTGAATTGTGGGTAGTGAGTAGTGCGCAATGAGTAGTGAGTGCTGTTTGGGGCTAGGGTTTGGGCTTGGGGCTCGGGTTAGGGGTCAGTGTAAGGGTGAGGATTAGTGTTAGGGGTGGTAGGGGTCGGCTTCCGGAATCCGGCACTGTGGCGAAAGGGGGGGGGGGGTAGAATTTGGCGGCGGGGGGGGGGTCGGACCCCCCCACCCCCCTTTTGAAAGGGGGGGAGGAGGGGGGGTCCCCGACGACGGACTGGGAAAGGGGAGGGGGGGTTTCCCCGACGACGGATCGGGAAAAGGGGGGAGGGGGGGGGAGGTCCCCGACGACGGATCGGGGAAAGGGGGGGGGAGGGTCGCACCCCCCCACCGCCTTGGGGTCATCCAGCGGCGAGCCCTCCGATTTTGCTCAGCTAGATTTGCGCTGGCCTGTCAATGTCGAGAGTGATACGCTGGATGTTTGTATGGAGGTAGATTCTGGCCAGATGGAGGTGGTTGGTCGATCAAAGAAGCTGCGCAGTCAACACAACGGTGGGTGGGGGATGAGTGATTGGCTACGAGATCCCCAGTGTGTCCTACGGTGGGAGGTGGGAGTTGTGGTGCGATATCTGATGGTATGAGGGCGCACGCTGTGAATGTGGGATGTAATTCTTTGTCGGCGTCGTGCGCGTGCAGTGCTGGGGCGTCATTCCGTGAGGCCCGCCCGCCTGTTGCTGCCCAGTCCGACCCCTCCCCTGCCGAGCGCCCTGCTCGGCGCTCCTCTCCTCCTGCTAAGCGTGCGAGAGCTAGGCAGGACGCCATCCGTTTCTTTCCGAATTCGGAGTTTGACGAGAGCCTGCTTGGGGCCGCTGCGCGTCTCCTGGGGCTCGGAAGGTAGTTTTCCATTTGAAATTTGGGGCTTTGAAGCTCTGTTAGTTGTGGGCGAGCTGGACGCTTGAATTTACGGCAGGTTCTGTCGGTCCTAGGGTTAATTCTCATTGACGTAGTGTCTATAGGCCCCTGGAGGGGTTTGTTTGTCGTCTTCCTCTTCCTTGTCATTCCTCTTCCCCCTCCCCCATTTCCCGTCCTCACTTCCTCCATCTTGTTGCCCATCGTGATCGAGGACTTCGGAGGAGGCGCGGCGGGGAGGGGGATAACAGGAAAGACAAGCGGTACGAAGAGGAGGAGGGAGAGGAGGAGATGGAATCGGAATGGGTGGAAGGCGATGTTGAGTTTTTTTTGAGGGAAGGCTGAGGGCGGGAAAGAAAAACACAAAGTACCATGAACCAGAATGGGTTGGAGGAGCTGGAGGGAGTGAAGGTCACAGGCCTCGCTTTCCTGGGCCTCCTAGGAGGCCCTCGTCGCCATCGCTGGATTCGCTTCGACATGTTGGTCAGAACGCGCTCCAGGCGAGGTCCAGGGAGTAGCGAAATCGGTACCTTCTGGTTTCCCTAGAGGGGGCGGATAATAACGAAAGAGTAGGAAGATAATCGAGGACAGGCACATGGCAACGAAACTCAAAATCTTCGCAACCGTCACCGCGAACAGTTCTGTGGACATGATTCGGGGCAGGCTTGCGAGAGTGGGATTTTCGACAAAGTATTAACTCTTTGTTTCGGATGAAGACCCGCATGCCTGAGTATAGATGTGCGCCTCCCAGAGAATGAGGAGGAGGGTGAAGGAGCAGAGCAAAGGATGAGGACGATGAGGAGGACCAGAGCAAACGCAAAATACACCAGCGCAGCGCTGCTGAAAATCCCCCTCCCCCAAAGCCGCTGCGCGATTCAGGGGCGATGGAACCTTCTCGCGGATAGCCACTCCGAACAACCTGGTCCGGCCCGAATCTCGCACCCGTCTTCGCACATGACAGGCGGGGGCCTGCGCATTCCTCCGCCTCCCCCCCTGCTGCGCCTCGCCCTGCCCTGCCGGCTCCTTGCCGCCCCCCCGCTCTTGTCCGCGAGGCGCGACACCGAGCTCCTCTCGGGGCGGCTGGAGGACCTCGAGGCGAAGATACACGAGGCCTCGCGCGCCACGAGCAGCAATGGGAAGAAAAAAGCGTCGAGGTACAAACGTTGACGCAGACATCATGAACATTCGGGGGTCCGCACGGATTTGTTGGATCGGAGCGAGCCCCACCCCTGGCGGCGCCTCCGGCGCTGTCCCTGGCGCACTTCGCGTGCCAGGGAGGTTCCCGCGCCGATCCAAGAACTCCGCGCGGGGCTCCAAAATGCTCTGCTCATGATTCCTCGCCGCCCCCGAAGAACGGAGAAGCTGCCGCCAGCAGGTGTTGTCTTCGTCACTCCGGCGGGCCGAGGCGGCCCAGGAAGAGCACAGATCACCGACAGCGCTCCGATTGTTCCCATTGTGCTGGGGCGCTCTGGGACGGCCGCGGCGCCCGATGCCTCCTCCAGAGCCGCCGGTCCTCAGAGGTGTCCGATGCATTATCCTAAATTCTCGTCGTTCTGCCTCCGTCTTTCGGGGGTGGACAGGCCTCTTGCCCTCACACGTCGATTAAGGCGTTTTCGGTTCGCGAGAGGGCGTCGCGGCCGTCATTTTTGCGGGCCCAGGTCCGTCGGTGTCGGTCCCAGGCCGTTTCCACTAAGGGGAGGTCTACCAATGGGAGGTTTGTCCACCGCCGAGTCCTACGGGGGAACAACAACTTCAGCCGCCGCTGGTGGGCTCATTCTTCGTCCTCCTCATTCCCCCACCCCGTTCGGAGGTGCAGAGGTGAGGCTGGCCCACGAAGCACCCCACAAGACTCGCCAAACATGAACTGACGGTCGCTGTTTTCGGTGCTTGTGTGGTCGGCGCTACCCGAATGTTGGCTTCAGATATTTTGCCCAGGCGCAGGGGTGTCCGAAACGGGGCGGCCCCCTCACAGAATTGAAGAACGCGTTTTCTGACAAGTGTCCGATCTATCGAGCGCCACGATTTTTAACGGCGTGGCGATCTATATCTGACGATGCTTCTAGGTTTCCACACCATTCTGGAGATCGTGGGGCCCTCGGGACCTCGTGTGATGGGCCTCCTCGGATGCCATCTATCAGTTGAGCGGAAAATCGGGACAAATCGGAACCAGAGATTCTGGGAGAGCTCCAGAGAAAAATAGAACGCCGATTTGTGGAGCGTAGCGCGCGCATTCGCAGAAGTTCCCAAATAATGTTCGAGGGCTTGACGAGCCCAAGTAACACATGGGCGCTCAATTAAACTGTTGAGGGCGGGCAGAAAATCTGGTGTACACGAGCATTGTGAGCGGGTGCGCGGCTTGCACGGGGGGCACAGTAGGTTTGCGTTTCAGGGACTTGGGCGCTGGCCAATGCGCTGCTGGGGGGCCCGAGAATGCGTCACACATATTACGCCTGTGGCGCCATGGGGGCCGCATTTGCGGTTGCAGTTGGGCGGGCGCCCCGCCGCGCGCGCCGTGGCGACAGCTCTCTTGGGCGCCCGCCCGCCGCCGTGGACGCAGTGGACCCAGCTAGTCTCTCGGTCGGCGCGCGGCGGGTCGGCAGCCACGACGCTGGCGGCCTGAAAATGCTTCGAAAGTGTTTCTCCCCGAGCCCAGGGCTATTGTACGTTTTCGGTGGCACGCGCAGCTCGGAGAAAAATCGCCTTGTCCGTCGGCGGCCAGTTGGCTGTCGTCGCGCAGAAGTACCGGCGGACGGCGCGGTCCACGCTCAGCGCAGAGAGCGTGTCCATGAGCGTGGACTCGTCGAGGGGCAAGAGGAAGGACCTCGCGGCCGGGACCATCGCGGCCCGCGCTGTCCACGGCCCCCACCCTGGGCGCGCGAGGACCTGCTGGGCGCCGCCGCAGCGCGATTTCAGAGAATCTCGGAACCAGAAATCCGGGCGCGCCAAATTTCGCGGGCCGAAAAACTCTCAGAGAGTTTCGGCCCGCTCCGAGGTTTTGGGTTTATGGGAATGTTTCACGCGGGGTGGCTAGTTCAGAGATTTTCAGAGATTCTCAGAGAAGTTCGGACGCGAGAATTTGGCGCGCCCCGGTTTCTGGTTCTGTGAATCTCTGAAAAGCGGTTCCTTAGGTTTTACCGGGTCTCCAGGCGTCCTATTGTCAGCCAGAGACGAGCGACTGGCTGGCGCCGCGCCCGATGCTTCCGGAGTTGCGAACTCGGTCTTCGATTCCCTGGGGCCCGCGGGCCCCTGGGCTAATCGCGAGGAGGTTGCCGAGGCCCCCAGGCGGTTGCGCGCGATTGTCTCGGAAACCGGAGTTGGGCATCCATGGTGGACGCCCGCGCGTACGCGCTAGGTGTCCGCGAGATTGTTCGGTGGCGGATCTTGCATGGCGCGGGGACTTTCCAAAGAATTTCCGGGGTGTTCTCCACGGTTATTTCGGCGCGCTTCGGGAACCTTTGGGCGGCGCGGGGAAGTCGCCTGGCCGCGCGCGGGACTTCTTTGCCAATGCCTTCTTGGGCATTATCGCGGTGTTGCGTGGTCGAAGAGGTCACTGAGTAACGCGCGTTTTGACATTTTCGTGTTTTTTTTCCGTTGCGTTGGTTGCGTGATTGTTTTGGCGGTCCGCCTCTTTGGGACCCCCGTGGGGCCTCAAGTTTGTTTTGTTGACGTCGGGCCTTCTGGAGTGAAAGGCGCTCGGCGCTGAATTCCCCCGGGCGTGCGCGTGACCAAATGCGCGCCGTGGCTTCATCCGCGCCGGGGCGCATTTCTTCCTTCGCGAAGCCGATGGCGCCCAAGGCGTGGCAGGCCCGTTCGGCGGCGCCCCCGGTGATTTGAAAAACCGAGCATGATTTTTATCCCAGTCAAATTTTGCCCCGATCCCAGCTTCATCTTAATCTAGGCCTGCCTGGACACGCTGGGGTCGACTTGGGCCAGGGACACCTGATCCAGGTCGACCCCAGTGCCAATCCAAGAAATCAGCGCGGGCCCCCAAAAGTCAATGCCTACGCCGCTCTATTTACTCTACTGCTTTTTCCTGGGGGCCAGCTTCTCGTCCCGAGTTGTTTTGTTCACGCCCCCTGAGGGCCCCATGGAGGGCCCCGAAAGGCCGAAAACGGCGAGAATTCTCAAGGCCCTGTTTCTTCATGACCACATACGGGGGTTGAGAACAATCCCAAGCTTCCGAGGGGTCCCTGAACTTATGCTCCTTTGTGGTTGTCCTCTCCACCGTGGGAATGTTGTTTTGTTTGGGGTAGATGCATTGTGTCCTTGATCCACGTGATTGTGGCCATGTCTCGTCTGCACGCTCGCGGACCATCCGTTTCGATTGCTGCCGGGGGGTAGGGGGGGGGGCATTCAGAAAAAAACAGGCGCCGGCGCGGGCAGGTCGTCTCGATGGGCGACTGGCGCCCCCGGTCGCGCCATGTTCACTCGGTACAGTTGCCTCCTCCGCTCGACCCCCCCTGTCCTCCGCAGCCTGGCGCCCAGGGATGCCGAGCTGCAGGTTGCTTTGCTCCGTGACCGCGCCTGGGTCCACTCCTCAGCGGCGGTGCCCACGCTCGCGCTCCCCCGCTGCCTCTCTGCCGCAGGGCGCCCCTCGGATGGTTCAGGCGAGGTGCTCGGAAGCCCCTCGCTCCCGCTCTTCGAGGCCGCGCCGGCCGACATCGCTGCGCTGTGCCTGGGCCCGCCTCAGGGGACCCAAAGGTCATGAGAATGATGCATTCCAACAGTTCCAAGGTTCGCAGGATTCTCCAAAGTTCCTGACGGTCCGCACCGGCTGCGCCGCTAGCTTCCCTGGAAGTCCTGGAACGCATCCTGAGCCAATCGTATCATGACATCTTTCTCGCCTTACCGCCCGCAAGTAGGATTGGTGCCTGCGCCTTCCAGGCCCGAATGTAGTCCACGCCGAACCCAGGGCCGCAGGGCGGGCCTGATCAGGACGGGACACAGGGCGCAGACCGTCAGTGAGTGTAGGCTTAAGTGCATGGGTTGCAGGCACGTTGCGGCCAAACGGCAGCGAGTGCAGTCGAGGCGGTGAAACAACGACAACCTTGGGTTCAGGAGGAGATCTTGCTTTTGGGTCGTTTCGTAAATTTAGGTCGGGAAACATGTTGGTGGCCGAGACTTGCCGTGGCGAGAAAAGCCTCTTCGTTCCTTACTCAGTGCTCCCGTGCAGCAGCACGATGATTGTATTCGGTAGCGAGTGCATTGACGTGCGCTAGCGTGGGGTAATCGATGAGAAGTGTCCGTTTTGGCGTCGATGAGCGGCGCGCAGCGCCGATTCGCAGCGGCCAGCAAGATGGCTCCCGCGGGTTGCCACCGAACGATCACTGTACTCCGGGAGGGCGCCCACACCGGCCCTGGGCCGCAGGGCGGGCCCGGTCAGGAGCGGGCAAAGTACAGACCTTCAGTCAATGTGCCTTAAGTTGCTGGCAGACTGCACCCAACCAGAAGCGGACATGTTAGGCATTTCGGACGAGGCATCGCCTTCGAGGATCTCAGGAGTTGGCATGTTTTCCTCGGTCCAAGGCGGTGGAAGTAAGACGAGGTAGGCTCTGCTGGCGGAGGCCAGCGGAAGTAATTTTCAATCGGCCTCCCAAGAGATGGCAAGGTTTTTTGGTTCTGGATTTCCAGAACCCCGTCATGGACGAGTTGATTTGGTCCCCTGAGCATGTAGATGCCACGAGCCGGTGCATGTAAATATCTAGCGCGCGAAGAGTGGTATTTAGAAAATTGCTCTGCGATCGGGGTCGCCTGTCCCAGGGCGGCTGGAAATGTTATACTCCCCTTTGCCACCCTACCATCGTAATAAGGAGTATAAGCTTTCCAGCCGCCATGGGATAGGCGCCCTCGATGGCAGAACATGTTATTAAATCCCTTTTCTCATTCAGCCAGCCAAGACTATTCCATCGCGGGCGTTTGCCCGCATGTTCGTTGCCATTGCGGCGCTGGTGGGTGGTGGTAGGGTCCTTGAAATGTTGCGTGAGCAGTCATGGGCGTCTCGGGGCAGAAGGCTCGAAATGGCTGTTCCTTGGAAGCCTCTTTGGAGAACACTGTAGCATCGTTTGCACTTGCCTGCGTGCTCGCGAGAGTATTGTTGGAGTCTCGTTAGGCATCTTTGGGGCCTCTTAGGGGCTCTTGGGAGCCTCTGGGGGCCTCTCGGGAGCCTCTTGGAGGTCTTGGGGCTCTCTTGGAGGCTTCTGGTGGTGTTAGGGGCTCTCTGACGGGAAAGGGTTCGAGATTTAAATCCGTAAGGGCTTCCGGCCCCCTGTCTCGGATAATGGGAGATGCAAAAGCTAAATCATGAGGTCTGGGCGCCGCCGTGAAGCAGTGTTGGGACTTGCTTGTTTTTCGACCCTGACCCTACGGATCTGCGTCACGGGTGCCACCGAATTTCAGAAATGTGGCAAATCCTTTGTGTTTTTGGACCCTGACCCTACGGATCTGCTTGAGGGGCGCCGCCGAATTTCAGAAATGTTGCAAATCCCGTATGTTTTTGCACCCTGACCCCGCCGATCTGCGTGAGGGGTCCCGCCGAATTTCAGACATGTGGCACATCCCATATGTTTTTGCACCCTGATACCGCCGATCTGCGTGAGGGGTGGCCCCGAAGAAATGTGGCAAATCCCTTGTGTTTTTGCACCCTGACCCGGCCGATCTGCGTGAGGGGTGCTAGCAAATTTCAGATATGTGGCAAATCCCTTGTGTTTTTGCACCCTGACCCCGCCGATCTGCGTGAGGGGTGCTAGCAAATTTCAGATATGTGGCAAATCCCATTAGTTTTTGCGCCCTGACTCCGCCGATCTGCGTGAGGGGTGCTAGCAAATTTCAGAAATGTGGCAAATCCCTTGTGTTTTTGGACCCTGACCCCGCCGATCTGCGTGAGGGGTGCTACCGAATTTAAAAAACGTGGCAATCCCTTGTGCTTTTGGACCCTGACCCCGCCGATCTGAGTGAGGGGTGTCAATTTTTACCCACCCCAGCAATTCAGACAACACGCTCAGGGCGTGGTAAAAATGCTCGTTTTGGGTCTCCCCCCCTCGCGCGGTCCATCAACAAGGAACAGTAAGCAGCAAGAAGCAGAACTGTCACAGTGGAAACTGCAAGCTGCAACTGGCACAGGAAACTGCAAACCTTCGGCCTACAGCCTGGTGGCCCCACAAGGGGGCCGGCGGATTCGGGGAGCTTTGGGGGCTTCTTGGGAGGCCTCTGGGGCCGTTTTAAAGCCTTCTTGGGCCATCTCGTGGCCGTCCTGAGGACCTCTTGGCTTGAAGTGTGGCAATATTGCAAGCTGAATGGGCCGTCTTGGGCGGTCCTGAGTCTGAAAAGGCCGTAATGCAACAAACTGACAAACACCTGAACACAGTTCCAGAAATTTGGCCTCCGGGGGGCCCCTGGAGATGTATATATTTTCATTTGGAGGCTATTTCGACGCTCTTAGGTCGTGGAACCTGTCACGAAAGGATCCCGACTCGACTGACCTCTTGGAACTCCCTTGGGGTCCCTCGGGGCGCTCGTTGGGCTCTCTTGAAGGCCCTGGAGACCGCCCTCCGGGACCGCCCGGTGTTTCTCGTGTTGGGCCCCACAGTGGCCGCCATGCACGCGCGAACTAGAACAATCGAAATTTGCTACTGGAGATGTGAGCATTCCTCTGCCTGTCGGACCAGTATCGTCATTCGCCCGTTGGTGTATGATATTGGCCACCCTGCGCTGCTGCCGTTTGAGGAGAGGGCCCTCCAGTCGAGTTTGATTAGTAGGTCGACCCTGCTGCATCTAGAGTACAGTCATTACTGATTGTAAGGATGAGCGACTTTCCAAGATTTCCCTTGCATCCTTGCCTCTTCAGTCCATCCTTAATCACTTTCGATGGCCAGCCCCGTTTGAAACAGCTTGAAATGCGGGCGTCCAAGGGGCTTGCATCCTTGTCGCGCATCTTTAGTATCAGGTTCGACTGTACAGCCGAGTTTGATAAGTTGGTCGATCTTGCCACATCAAGGGTACCCTTGCATCTTGCGGTTGTCGGCCCGTGCACTCTGCATTCCTGTGGCAATGTGTCCCTCGGACGGGTCTCGTGTCCTCTCGCGTGTTCTCTTTAAATCAAACCAGGTTGTCCAGGTTCACCGAGAACGAAAGAAGCCCTAACCTTCATATTACAGTGATGACGTAGCCCTAACCTAGGTCCCCGTATTGGCATTAGGGATAATACATTTGGGCGTTGTGGCTTGATACACTTGTAGAATAAACTCTTTTATCCCTGATGTGTTGGGCCTCTTAACGCAGGTCCGCTCCCAGAAGGGTTAGAGGCTTTTGTATGGCGAGTCATCGATCCCCTCCAGGACCCTGCGCCGAGGCGGGGTGATCGGAGCGCAGGCCGCTCAGAGCGATGACAGAGAGCGCCGCTGCTAGACACACTCGGACCTGCGACGGCGCCGTGCTCAGGGGCAACGTTAATGGGGGGGGATGCTTCGGGTTCGATGCTCGAAGTTTCGGATGGTTTCGTCGGTTGTCGGCGGTTTTCCAGCCTCGGGGCGCTCTCCAGAGCGTTCTGGGGGTACCGGAAGCCTCCCAAACGGTCGCCTGAGGCCCGAGTTGTGGCCCGAAAGCACTTCAAATCAGGGGCAACGTTCGGGGGGGGGGGCATCAGGGGGGCATGCATCGGCTTCAGGCGTCCACTCATCACCGATAGGGCCACCCCGCCGAGGACCGTGCGGATTCGCTAACAAGGACAGGGGCCTATCGTCGATCGATCGGCGATGCATCGCAGGTTCCAGTTCGATGTTCCCCCCTGGAGCGGTCCTCCCCTGGCGCTGTCCCTCACGCGCTCTCACGCGCGCCCCCCCTCCCCCGCCCGCGTAATACACCACCACCAGGAGTGCCACCTCCAGCGATGAGGTCCACGATGCCTCCCCGATCTGGGGATATGGTGGGGGGGGGGCCTAAAGCGAGAGGTGGACCACTGCCCACCAGGAGGACCATCTCTGGCGCCTCGCCCTGGCCTTGGTAAGTGCCGCTCCTCCTTGCTTCGGCTCGGAGATCGCCTGCAGAAATGATTTGCAATGTTCGTCGAGTCAGCGGAATGTGCGTAGAATGTTCGTGGGTCTACTGGGCATTCTGCGTGCGTGTGTGTGCTCGCAGATCCGACGAAGCGATTCATGTTGGGGGCGGCTCGATTCTGCAGTCGATCCCCTACGCGATCGCTCCCGGCCCCCCCCCTGGAGGTTGCGCAGGCCAAGATCGACGAGATCGACCTCGCGCTCCGCGCCGCGGGGGCCCCAGCGCGGCCCCCGCCGCGGCCCCCCGCCTCCTGGCGGCGCGCCGCCGGGGCGGGGCCGGCGGCGCGGTGGGGCGGACGTCGTCGTCTCAGCGGTCGGTCGGCGGCTTGGGTCGAGGAGCAAAGAGCAGTGGCTCAAAAGACGCGAAGATCGGGACAAAATCGGATCGGGATGACTCGAAATCTCTGAGAATCGTCGGGTTTGGAGGATGTATTGGGCGCCGCGGCCGCTCCAGAGCGTTCCGGAACGCTCTGAGAGCGCTCCGGAACGCTCTGGAGCGATTTATCCCGATCCTAGCCTTGTTTTAGTGGCACAAACACGGAGGGCTTGGCGCTCCGCGCGGACTTCCTGGATCTGCGCGGGGGGCCCCCGTGGCAGCGCCTGCGGCGCCGCCCGTGGCGCGCTCCGCGCGCCAGGGAGGGGGGGGTTCCAGCACGGATCCTGGGAGAATCCGCGCGGACCTCCAAAAAGCTTATGTTCATGAAGTTTTCTGTTTTTCCACTCGGGCGACTCGGGGAAGCGCGCTGGTAGGTACCTTCAGCCGCATCGGAGGAGCGCCCCAGTCAAGTAGCCTCGGACGCCTCAGAAGACGCACTTGCAGGTGCCTTCTGGCCTTGAGGACAAGCGGCGTCAACCAGTGACGAGGTTCAGCCTGGGATCCCTTGCCTGTCTTGAGGGCCTCATCCCTCAGGGTTCCCACCTTCGAACCGCCGAAGGCGGGTGGGCCGCGGCGCCGCCGCCCCGAGGCGAGGCCGCGGTGCCGCTGCAGCGAGGGGACGTCACTGAAACCATGCCAAAAAAGCAATGGGACATCACTGGCTTTCGCCTCCCGGAGGTCCTCTCGGAGCCCGTTTGGGCGTCCCGGGCGGGCCACGGCGCCGCCGCACCGAGTCGAGGCCTTCGGCGCCGCCGCGGCGCAGAGTGGCGTCGCCCTCGGGGGCCCTCTAGCGGGGCGAAGGGCGCCTCGTTGCCTCGCTCGCGCACGCGCCCCCTGCCGGCGCGCGCGCGGCTCCGGGCGCTGGGCGCTGCTCGGCGCTCGCCGTCGTCGGCGGCGCCTGGTCTCGTCGGCGTCCTCCCAGTCGGCCTCCCCCGTCCTCCTCCGCCCCGCTCCTGATCTCGAGAAGCCCAAGCGCTGATTCACGAAGGTGAAGCACAGTTAGCACTGCCTGCCCCATTCATGTGCTGTCTTCCTGCCCTCTGCTTCTCTTCCCCCCCCCCCTGCGCCGCTGCAGCAGTTTCGGTCAGGGGGACCGCTTGTCCCACCCTCCCACCATCGTTTTCTGCCTGCCCCCACTAGGGCGTCGGTGGCAGTCCGCGCGGCGAGGTGCCGCTGCACCTCGCTCGTGTCACTGTGTTTGTCTGCGCAATGTAAAAAGAATGGGAGGGGAGCGGGCTAACTGGCATGAACAGACACACACTCGGCGGCTCGCGCGGATTTCTTGGATCTGCGCGTGCCCCTCCTGGCGGCGCCTCCGGCGCCGCCCTTCTCGCGCGCTCCGCGCGCCAGGGTGGGGGGTCCAGCGCCGATCCAAGAGAAACCAGCCCGGACCTCCGAAAGTTTCTGTCCAGCTGCCTGCGACAAGTCCCGCCGCCGTGCCTGGGTTGTGGGTGTGAAGCCTATTGGATGATCGTTGGGGTCTCGTGGGGGGCCTCTCGGGGGTCTCTTGGAGGCAGTGGGCCTCGTGGGGACCGTTTTAGAAACCACTTCGTGGCCTATTGAGGCTTCTTGGGGGCCTCTTGGGGGCCTCTTGGGGCCTCTTGGGCGCCTCTTGGGGCCTCCTGGGAGCCTTTTGGTGCGGAAAGCTCGGATTCTCGATTCGTGTTCTTCTCTTGGGCTCTTTTTGGGGCCGTCTTGGGTCTCTCTTGGGCCGTCTTGGGCGCCTCTTGGGCCGTCTTGGCCGTCTTGGGGCATTCTTGGAGGCCTCGTGGGCCGTCTTGGGGTGGTCTTGGCGGCCTCTCGGGCCGTCCTGGAGCGTCGGAAAGCCGAAAAGGCGAGAAAGCCAAAATCATTCGAAAACCTGGGGAATGATTGATGGTGTTTGCATATTGGGGCCCTCTTTGAAGGCCTCTTGGAGGAATCTTAAGGCGTCTTGGAGGCCTCTTAGGCCATCTTGAGGCCATATTGGGCGTCTTCGAACGATCGTTCGGTGTCTTGGGGGCCTCCTGGGCCGTCAAGGAAGCCTTGGAGAGCCCCAGGGAGGCGCCATGGCCTCCCAGGGACCCCCTGGGAGTAGGGCAGGTGCGCGTGGCGATGCACGGCGGGGTGAGGGGGGGTCCGCTCTAGAAGATTACAGAAACCCTACGCACTTGGCATTCTAGCATGCCTCAACGTGCCAGGGGGGCACGATGGCTGATGTCAGTCTTTGTTCCTCGATGATCGTCTCTCCCGATTGTCCCCCGCCCCTCTCCTGAGCGTTGGCTGGACCTGGGCCTGTCGGCATCGGAGCCCCTGGCCGGACGCTGTCACCATCTTCACCTTCCCCTCCTCCGGCTCCTGAACCGCCGCCTCCTTCCTTCTCCACCTCCACTTCCACCTCCACCCCCTGGTCCGCCTGGGGAGGTGACGAGGAAAAGCGCGGGTGCGACGAAGAGGAGGAGGAGGAGGAGGAGGAGGAGGAGGAGGAGGAGGGGGAAAGAATAACAAACAAATAAGAAGCATAATAATACTGATAGTAAGAAGAAGAAGAAGAAGAGGGGGAGGAGCAGGAGGAAGAGGAGGAGCAACCTCCATATTATTCTGCCTGCCTTCAGAATCCATCCCGTTGTTTGGTGTTTCTTGGTTCTCTCTTACAGAAGCAAATACATCAGAAAGCAGCCTGCGAGCAGATGTCCCACGGAATTTTCTCGTATCCAGATGGTTCTCGGAACCCACAGAGTGTCTAGGACCTTCAAAGATTGACCCATATTTTTCATAGCAAGACTTCTTATTGCATGTGTCTACTATTTCTCTCGATTCCAAGCGGAGCCAGGTGACATTTCGTGCCCACCCTTTGACTTGAAATGAACGGATTTGAACGTCAGGGGCCATTTTGGGCGACTCAGTTCGGGCCGCCCGCGGGCGCAACCGCAACCGCAACCGCAAGTGCAAGCAGTTTTTTTTTTCGGTCGCCTGCAGTCACAGCCGCAACAGCAATTGCAATCGGGTGACCCAGTTTGGGCCGCCCGCGGGCGCGACCGCAACCAGCGCAACTGCAACCGGGCGGACTTTAGGCTGCCCGCGGGCGCAATTGCAACTGGGCAGTGCACTGTGGGCCGCCCGCAGGCGCAACCTCAATTGCAACCGGGCGACATATTTTGGGCCGTCTGGGGGCGCAACCGCAGCCGCAACTGCAACCAGGCGTTGCATTTTGGGCCGCGGGCGGTCGCAATTGCAACTGCAACCAACACAGTTCAGGCCGCCTGCGGTCGCAATTGCAACCGCGACTACAAGCGCAAACGCAACTGCGACTGGCGTTACATTTTGGGCCGCCAGCGGGCGCTAAAGCAGGTGCAACTGGGCGACGCATGTTGGGCCGCTTGCGTGCGCAAACGCAACCCGGAAGGAGGAGGATGAGGAGGAGGACCAGTGCAGGCCCAATGCACAGCAATGATGTTTCAATACGCCCTCCCTCCCAGTTCCCTCTTCACAGTCCCCTGCAAGAATTCATGTTCATTGCAGGAAGTGGCCCACTGGAAAACAATTGTCTGAGAATCCTCAATCCTGCCAAAACGCAATCCTTGGGACTTCAGCGCTGCGGATCAACATGACTGTTGCGTCCTGACAGTCCTGAATCTTGCCAGAAAGTCGTTCCTGGCTTTTCAGCACCACGAATCAATGTGACTGCTGCGTCCTGACAATCTTAAACCGTGCCAAGACATTATTCCTGGAGTTCAGCGCCGCGGATCAGCGTGACTGTCGCGTCCTGACAATCTTGAATCGCGCCAGAACACCACATTCCTTGGACTTCGACATCGCGATTCATCGTGATTTCTGCGTCCCAACAACCCTAGATCATGCCAGCACACCGCTCTTCGGACATCACCCATGCGAGCCCTTGAACCTGTCGCAACCTTTGAAGACGAATGTGCGCGGCGCTGAGGCGAGAGCCACGTGTTGAAAAGGAGCCGCCGCCAACTTTGCAATTGTCGCACACTTTCCAGACGAGTGCGCGCGGCGCTACGGCGAGAGCCACGTTTTGAACATCGCGCGTTCTCCATCTTTGAAGTGGTTGCATCGTTTTGAGACGAATGTGATCTGCGATAAGGCGACAGCATCACTCTGAAAACGATCCGCTTCCACCCGTTAAATTGCATCAGTCGAATGTGCGCGGTGTTGAGACGATATCCACATTTTGAAAGCAATCCGCCCCCTATCCACGAAAGTGTTGCACATACCATGTTTTGGGATCATGAAAGGTGAGAGTCTCAGGCGAAACGCCCGGCCTGCCCTACCGACACGTCTCAAGATGCGAAGGGGAGGAATCATTGATAAGGAACGGGGATGGGGGATGTGGATGTTGAGGTGCACGGTGAGCAACAGCCACATAATGATAGGAAGGAAGAGGAGGAGGAGGAGGAGGAGGTGGAAGAGGAGGAGGAGGAGGAGGAGGAGCAGGAGCAGGAGGAGGAGGAGGAGGAGGAGGAAGAGGAGGATGAAGAGGAGGAGGAGGAGGAGAAGGAGGAGGAGGGAGGAGGGAGGAGGAGGAGGAGGAGGAGGAGGAGGAGGAGGAGGAGGAGGAGAATGAGGAAGCGAAGAAAGAGGAGGGCAACGAGGAACAGGACCAGAAGACGGACCAGAGATCGCAGGAGGAACGAAAAGCGGACCGAGGATGGGGGGAGGAGGAGGGAGACGACAAGTAGAACAAAAGGGGTTTATGATGGACGTGGCCCCTTCTTGGTGCCCGCGGTCGTGCTCCCGAGGTTCTCTAAGCGGCTTCCTGGCGTTGCCCGCGATTCTCCGCCAGGGCATAGCAGCGGGGAGTCCCCATTCCAGACTGCTGCCCATGATATTGTTCTACCCTCTCTGGGGTCGATGGCCGGGAGAAGCGGCATGAGGGTTTCAATCGTCATGGACAAACCGATCCGCAGTTCGAAGCTCAAAGGGGGAGGACAGTGGATGAACTAGAGACGGGGTGGAAGGTGAGGATCAGCGGATGACGTGGAAGAGCAGGATGAGAAGGATGGGATGCTGATCTTGAGAACCTGATCATGCTGACGATAATTCTAATACAGATAACAATACTGGTTCTGTTAATAGTACAAAGACTAGCAATACGAATAATAATGTCGATTGTGATGCTGATGATAATGCTGATGATGATGTTGTTGATGATGATGTTGATGGTTGTGGTGGTACTGATGATATGATGCTGATGGTGATGATGATTATGAGGATGATGAGGATGATGATGTGGATGCGGGTGCTGATGATGGTGGTGATGATGGTGATGATGATGATAAAGAATGTGATGATGCTTGGTAATTTGGTGATGATGGCGAATGTGATAATGATGATGATGGTGATGGCGATGATGATGATGATGATGATGATGATGATGATGATGATGATGATGATGATGGGGATGATGATGATGATGATGATGATGATGATGATGATGATGATGATGATGATGATGATGCTGATGATGATGATGATGATGCTGATGATGATGATGATGATGATGATGATGATGATGATGATGATGCGGATGCTGATGTTGATGCTGCTGATTATGATGCTGTTGTTGTTGCTGCTGATGATGATTATGACGATGCTGCTGATGCTGCTGTTGATGAGGATGATGAGGATGATGCTGCTGGTGATGATGATGCTGATGCTGATGTTGATGATGCTGCTGATGATGATGCTGCTGCTGATGATGATGATGATGATGAGAAGGAGTTGGTGGAGGAGGATGTGGTGGTGGTATTGAGGAGGCGCCGTTCTGGCCGAGGGCGGCGTTCTGGCCAAGGCGGGGGAGGAGGCGGGGGAGGAGGAGAAGGAGGAGGAGGAGGAGGAAGAAGAGGAGGAGGTGGTGCTGGTGGTGTTGAAGAGGGGGTCCGGCTAGACCATACATCGTGAGCGCGAGGCGGAGGAAGCAGAGGGGGGCGGGGCACCCCTGCTATCTCCCTCGCCCTCTCCAGACACGTACATGTCGCGAATTTGTCGCGATGGCCCTTTTGCGAACACAGCCCGGGGACCGGTTTTGCATCCTGGGCCCTTTCGGGGCCCGCGTCACAGGGGTCAGAGCTGACGGGGATCAGCCAATCCACTTTGGCTGACCTGGGTTTGGGGCCACAGGGGGCCGATGCCTCCTTTCCGCCCTCCGCTGACCTGGGTATGGGAGCTACTGAGCGGCCAGACGCGCTGCGCGGCAGGGCACTGGCCGAGTCGGGCTTGTGCAGACCCACTTTACAGTCGGGGCGCTGAGGAAGGAACCCTTTTCGTTGGGGGGGGGCTCGGTGTTCCTTAGTTGTTTTGCAGTTCGCCTTTGGTTTTGCTTAGGATTTCGATGGGAAATCGAAGTTTAACTTATGGGAACAAGGGGCCTCGTTCCTTATTTAGGGTTCCTTAGGTGAACGCCCCGACTGTAGTACTGATTTATCTAGTGCCCGAACAAGGGATCCACAGACCGACGCCGTGGAGAAGGTGTCCGTCTTGATCTTGCTCGTGGCGCCAGATGCGGGGGCTCCCACAAGTGCGTTTGTCTCCTGGAGACCTTCAGAGACGTCCAGATGTCCGACTAGGGCCAGAAATGCCATGAAGGTATGTCTTCGAAACTTCCCGATCCTCGATCCTCTTCCCTCCCTCCCTCCGTCCTCCCTCCCCCCTGCTGGCGGTGGGGTTTTCCCTCGCGTGCACTCCCATTTTGGCACTGTGCTCTTCTCTCTTGCATAGGCTTCTCTCTATTCTGCGACCTGCGTCCCCCCTCACTGTCTTACGGTTGCCCTTGCAAAGACAGCGTGCGATGTGGCGCTGCCATCCCGCTTGCTGCACGCTGCCCCCTACCCTGGGGACAGCGTGCACCGAAGAAGCTCCGGCAGGGGGATGGCGTGCACACGAGGGGCCCTCGCAGGGGGTGTCGCCTCACAGGGGCAGCGTGCACCGAGGAAGCCTCACTCTCAGGGATCAGCTGTGCTTTTCGGAGATCGGTGCTGCACGCCCTCTTTGCGAAAACAGCCGCATGCTCGAAGCCCGATGCCGGATGAGCCTCGACCTGGTCGCGCCGGCGTCGGCACGCCCCCGTCAGCCCAGGCCGACGTCCCCGCCGCTGGCGGCTGGCCAACGACCCCGCCGCCCGCCGTAGAGGAGCCGCCGCCGCCGCCGACCGCCGCGGGCGACGCCGTCGCCGTCGGGGCCGCCGTCGTCGCCGTCGCGCGCGTCGAGTCGCCAGCGACGTCGCCGCCGTCGCCGTCGCCGTCGGGCCGCCGCCGCCGTCGTCGCCGCGACGTCGCCGCCGTCGCCGTCGCCGTCGGGCCGCCGCCGCCGTCGTCGCCGTCGCGCGCGTCGAGTCGCCAGCGACGTCGACGCCGTCGCCGTCGCCGTCGGGCCGCCGCCGCCGTCGTCGCCGTGGCTTTGGCTGTCGCCGCCGCCGTCGTCGCTGTCGTGGCCGCCGCCGCCGCCGCCGTCGGCCGCGGCCTTGGGGCCGCGGTGGGGGGGGGGGTCCTCGCGTGGCGCTGGCGCTGCGGTGGCGGCACGACGGCGGTCTCTTCGAGGGGAAGCGCGCAGAGCTGGCGAGCCCCCGGGGGGTCTGCTCCTGCAGAGGGCACTGCTGCGGAGGGCCGCGGTGTGCGCGCCCTCTCGTGCGGCGCAGGCGCCGCGATGGCAGGCGGGCGGCGCGGCATCGGACGTTCCGCGCCGGTTGTGGGTCTCGTACGGTGCCGCTCGGACTGGTGCACACTATCGGCGGCGAGCGAGAGGGGGAGGTGAGAAGGAAAATGCCCTCTCAAAGGGCGGCGGGGCTTCTCCTCGCGCCTCTGCGAAGTCTTTTGTGTCTGCGGGGACGGCTCAGGAAATGTCCGAGAAGGTCGGGGGACTCCTAAACCTTCTGAGAAGGCCTTCTCCTTTTCACTTCCCCCGTGCTCGCCGCCGACATCGCCAGCCTGAAACACACATCTCGCTGCCCCTAGGACTGGCAGCACCTTCTCTCGATGCCGATCCTCAGGGCCCCCTGGCTTCTGGGGACGCATCCCCGAGCTTGCCATTGGCTTGTGGCCTGTCGGTCTCAGGGATGGGGATGAGCTCCAGGCTGGGTGGCACAGCCGGGCGGCCACCGGGCGCCGCTCGTCGGTTTTCCGGGGCCGGGCGGGCCCCGCGTGCCGCCAGAGGGCGAGCGCGTGCCAGTTCTCGGCAGGACGAGGGGGGCAGGTTCGGGCGGGGCAGGGGCGAGGCATCAAACGACGCGAAGATCGGGACAAAATCGGATCGGGATAACTCGAAATCTCTGAGAATCGGCGGGTTTGGAGGATGTATTGGGCGCCGCGGCCGCTCCAGAGCGTTCCGGAACGCTCTGAGAGCGCTCCGGAACGCTCTGGAGCGATTTATCCCGATCCTAGCCCTGTTTTAAGGCAGGACCTATATCCGCTCTGGACGCTCCGAGCGCGTTCCGGATCGCTCTGAGAAGGCCGCGGCGCCCGATGCCTCCCGAGTCGCCGGACCTCAGAGATTCCTCATTTGTCCCTGTCTGGTTCTATCCTTCTGCTGGCTTCGTCTTACAAGGGGCGATCGAGGTTTCCAGGAAAGTGGCCCCAAACTGCCCCTGAGCGCCCAAGAGGTGCGCGAAAGGTGCACGTTTCTTCACCCCACGTGTGCTCTATCGGGCGGACGGCAACGGGGGGTTGCAATGAGCGTGGGGGCATCGAGGAATATGCAGGAGGGTGGCCCCAAACGGCCCCGAAGCTGCCGCCGCGGGCCCAGAAAGCGCAAGCTGCACGCTGTTCCTTCACCCCACGTGTACTGGCCTCCCCCCCCCTCCCCGCTGTCCCCCCCCCGCCCCCTCGCTGACGCACATCCGGAGCTCGGGAGCTGCGGGATGGGCGGGGGCGCGCTCGCGAGGGGCGGCTCCGCGGGCCCCCAATGGGCAGCGGGCGTTGGGAGGCGGAAGCTGTTGCACAGCCTCAGTGCCCTCGGCGGCCGCTTCCGGGCGCGGGCCGCGGGGGCCGCGCTCGAGGAGTTGGTTGCCGTGTCCGTCAGCGCTCTCTCTCGGCGTAGGTCGGTCAAGCTTGGATGCAGCACCGCGGGTGCTCCAAATGTCGTGATGCAAGGGTGGCGATCACAACCCTCCCAGGCGAGCAGTTTTCGACCCCCCCCAGGCCAACCATGAAAGGGCGGCCTGTTGTCCAGACCCCCCCGAAGCCACCAAGACAGCTCAAGTCAGACCCCCACCAAATGAGACCCCCCTTCTTATGGAATCCGGGGTGCGGTCGGTTCGTGTCGTGTTGACGCGACGGCCTGCGTTCCAGGTTGAACACCGCCAGTGGCCCAGAATCGGCCAACATGGAACGACCTGTCGATCGAAAAGCCACCGATCGTTAAAGGTTGCACGATCCACGCAGTGTCAGAAACCAACGCAGGGTTTCGTCACGACACGAACTTGCCGTAGGCGTATGGCCAGATGAGCGATTGAAGAAAACGGAGTCGACGATGCTGTCATTCGCGCGTAAGCTGCCCGCGAAAGCGCCCGCTTCTCCCTGCGGTGCGCCACGCTGGCTGCCCGCAGGAGCCGCGGCGTGAGTTCGCTGTGTCGTCTTGCGTAAGGCCCGTGTCTTTTCGTCGCTCAGATGTGGCGTGCATGTGCGCCTACCTTGATCATCGAGCCTTGGCATTCTTGGCCCTGCTGCGTCTGAGAATAGCTCCAGGGCCATCTCGTCTCGTGCTGCCTTCGATTGAGTCGCCGACCTCGACCCGCCCGGGCAGTGAGAAGATAAATCGAGGAGGCGAGGGAAGAGGAGGAGGGCAAACGACCTCGACGACGACAGACGAACTAATGCCGCAACTAACGGAGCGACGCGAACGATGGCAGCAACGACGACGGGGGTCGAGCCCGAGAGTAACAACTCTGCCCTCCCAGTGATCAGGTGAGCCGACGGCCGACTCGCTCACTGTGAGTTCCAGTGTCCTGCTCATGACCTTGCCCTTGCAAAAATCGGCAGCCGCTCCAGGAGAAAGGAGCAAGACCAGGAGAAAGCCGAATAACACCACGACACTCGACAGGCGCGACCGCTTGCGACCAGGGATCAGCACGAGCATCCCAAGAATCCCGATGAGGCACCAACATATCTTAGGCCGCCTTCGGAGGCGGGTTGCTTCCTCTTCCGCTCACGATGGGCAAAGCGAACCTCATGTGCATCATCGTGCCGACCACTGATTGCCACTGGACACTCAGCAGTACGACCCAACACAACGATTGGAAATCACGCACCGCATCATGAGGAGCCGATGTCGATACATGATAGCAATTTTATGGGTGGGCTCCCCCGTTCAAATCGGGAGAAGCTTCAGCAAGCGCTGGCTTGACCTGACCACCAGCGAACCGATGTTCACGATCTGCCCCAACTGGATGGCCTTCTTCGTGAGCTCTTGCGTGCACCTCGGGAGCAGCGCGAACAGCACGTACTTGATCCCGGAGGGCGGCCTGGAGGGTCTCGACAACGCGCGCTGGTCGGCAGCCTCGATGGCTGAGACTACCAAGCGCGCGCAAGAGGGTCTTCACAGCCCGCGCCTGCGACCCAGAAGCCTGGGTCGCGACGCTCACTTGCGGTTGAGGAGGGGGGGGGAGGAGGGAGGAGGAGGGGCAGGAGGAGGTACCCCAGGAGGAGGAGGAGGAGGAGGAGGAGGAGGAGGAGGAGGAGGGAGGCGAGGTGCTCGGAAAGGAGGAGGGAGGAGGGGCATGAGGAGGGAGGAGAGGAGGGACCGCCGCCGTGCCCGGCAAGAGGAGCCCGCCAGCGCAGCGCACCTCGGCATCGTGGAGAAGCGCGTCGCCGACTTGGCCAGGATCCGGGGGAGGGACCGGGGCGGCGAATCTCGGGCCGGACGAAAGGGGGGGATTGGTAGGGGGCCACATGCGAACCCTACCCCTACCCCCCACGATTTCTGAGGGGGAGGGTGGGGTTCACTTCGCTCGGGAGGGGGGGGTACGAAATTTGCTGCATGCAGTTGGTTTCGGCCCCGCCGAGGGGTCCACTCCTCGAGACATGGCCGCCTCCCGGCGCCTGGAGGCGCCAGGAAAATCAGCTACGTGAGCTAGTTCTCAACCCCCCCCTTTGCTATCCCCCCCTTCCGCCCGACCCGAGAATCGGGACGGGAGCCTTGCGACGGGGGTCAATGTAAACGGGGGTCAGCCAGGGCACCGGATCTTGCAGGATCCTGCGAAGACCCCCTCTGGCTGACCCTGGTTGGCGAGCCGCTCGTGGCCGCGAGGCGGCCGCGCATATTGGCTGAACCGGGTTGGCGAAGACCTGCGTTGCAGTTTTTTTGTCCTGCATTGCAGTTTTTTGTTTCTTGTTGACCCGGGTCTGGATTGACCCGGGTCAGAAGATCCCCGAGCGAAGATTGATAGTGGAAGAAAAAAACAGGAGCGAATGAATCCGGCGATTGCAAACATGGATCTAGGGGGCGTGGATTAGCGACGGGTCCCGTTTCCACAGGAACTCGCGGATTTCCGCCGCCGAGCGAGGCGGCACTGGCCGCATTTTGGGGAGGGCACCTCCCCCGATCCATGGATTTGGCGACCGCGCACCAAATCCATGGATCGCTAATCCATGTTTTCGCGCCCCCGAATGAGGGACGTAAACGCACACGAATCCACACTTTTTTCGAGAGTACGCATTGCGCGAACGTTGGCATCACGCGGCTGGTCTCGCGGATTGGAGGGCCGCATTCATGTGACGTGTGTGGTTGGGCGCGCACGTCCTCTGTGGGCTCCCTAGGAAACCGGCATTCACATAAACGTTCGGAGCTTCGCGCCGCGCCAGGGAGGGGGGTCCAGCGCAACTCCGGGAATACCCGCGTGGGCCGTCGAAGGTTTCTGTCTGTGCTGTGTTTCCTTCCCTTGGGTGGACCTCCCCGCCCTGCCAGGTCGGCTGGCGAATCGCCCTGTTTCGGCTCGGTGCTGCGGCCGCCCGCAGGTTTCGCGGGTCGGCGCCCGCTGGATCTGGGCGCGGGTTGGTCTCATTGAAGGGCGTTTTGCTGAAGGGGGCCCTGTCCACCCCAGGGGAGGAAGGGCGGGGAAAGAAAGGGAGGAGAGACGGACAGGAAGAGGGGGAAGGGAGGGAGGGGGGTGGAGGCAGAGGGGAAGGGGGCAAGCTGGGTGCGCTCGCGCCATAATATCCGACGTCAGGCCCTCCCACCCATCCCTTGCCATTGCGCTGATTTTTTCCCTGCCCGCTGACGCGTGTCACAGCAGACCTGGGACTCCTAACCAGAAGACCCCTATCGGGCTGTGAGTAGTCGGACAAGGGGAGCTGCGCACGCGCAGAAGGAGGAAGTGGATGACGAGGGTGAACAGCAGCAGCAGGAGCTGGAGTGGAGGCAGCGGGGGCAGCAGGAGGACCAGGGGAAGGCGGAGGAGGGGAAAGGAGCGTGGCGCAACGAGGAGGTACTCGGATCCAGAAAAGCGGCCCGTGCTGACCTCCTCGGGGCGCGGCGGGGAAGGGGGGGGGAGCTGGCTCCACTCTCCCCCCTCGAGTCGGGGACCCACGCGCGGAGGGTGGGCCGACGAGGGACGAGGATGGGCGGACGAGTGAGGAACGAGGAGGAGGCAGAGGAGGAGGCAGAGGAGGAGGAGGAGGCAGAGGAGGAGGAGGAGGAGGAGGAGGAGGAGGAGGAGGAGGAGGCAGAGGAGGAGGAGAAGGAGGAGGTGGAGGAGGAGGAGGAGGAGGAGAAAGAGGCGTGAGGAGGAGGATGAAAGGAAGGCAGAGTAGGAGGAAGAGGGGGAGCCCCGGGAGCAGAGCAGTAACGAGGCGCGAGCAGTGAGGAGCAGACGGATGTCTGAGAGAACGAGGGGGAGGTGATCGAGGACAAGCGAGTAGCGACGAGGAAGAGGAGGAGAACGAGGGCGAGGACGCGCAGGAGGAGGCACAGCGCCGAGGAGGAACAGGGAGAGCAGGAGCAAGACCTTCAGGAAGGGGCGGATTTCTTGCCGGCTGCTTCCTCGCTAGGACTTGCCCGCTTCGGCGGAATATGCGTCGACGTCGACGACGACGACGACACTAACGATGGCGATCGCGGCGACGCTGTCGCTGATGACGCTGGCGGCGAGGGTGATGATGACAAGACGACGCTCACGACGTACTTGTTGCTGACGACGCTCGCGACGACGCTGATGACGACGCCGACGTCGTTGATCTGATGTTGGCGGCAGAAACGGCGCGCAGGAAGTACGACGAGGTGATGCAGGACTCTGCCGAGCTGCACGCGCGCCTGGCGACGCAGGATCAGCAACTGAGCGCCGCGAATCTCAAGGCGCAGCTCGTGCATTTGCTGGAGGATGGGAACGGCAAGACTCGAGTTCGCCAGAACTCGGGCTTACCTACGTTTTTGACGAGTCCTTCTTGGATTTTGACGGTCCAGTGTTCGTGGGACATTTCCAGCTGGAGCTCGCGTCAAATTTCAGATTGGGTCTCGTCATTGTCTGGACGGCCTCGCCAGGCAAACCCGAGTCCCCCGACCCCGAGTCTTACGTTTCCCCGACGGGGGGAAGGATCGAGGAAGGGAGTCGTGGGCAACAGATCTGTGGCCTCACGGGCTGAGCCCCTGGGCCGCGACACCGCGGATACGGAGCGTTTTTTTCTCGGACGCCTCGCGCGGAACGTATCCGTGCGACCGCGTGTCGTCGGGTCTCGCGCCCCCGAATCCAGACCTCGAGGGCGTGGATGTGGATACATTCGCCGCTCGTGCGTAGACGCTCCCCTGGCTTGGCCGGGGAGGCATACACGCCGATCCTGGGCCCACGATAGGCTGGTTTTGGTGGCGGTGGATCTGCAAAAGATGTCGTCGCCTTATCGAGGAGGGATGGAGGGGGGGATCGAGGAGGGAGGGGTCGAGAAGGGACGGAGGGATCGAGGAGGGATCGAGGGAGCGAGGAGGGATGGACCGAGGAGAGAGGGACGGGGAGTGCACAGCGTTGCTGCCTGCTCTCCTGGGCCGCTGTCCTGTGCCCGCGCCTGTCTTCTGCAGGCCGGCCCCTGCGCCGCTCCAGCGTCAGCTCGGCGTGCTCCCGCCCGCGCCTCGCGTCCTTGCTGCCGCCCTGACCGCTGGGAACGCCTGAGCCCGAGGGGGGGAGGTGGAGGGATGGCGGGAGGGGTCGGCCGGACTCGGACTCGGCACTGCAGCAGTCTGCGCGCCGTCTTGCTGCGGGCTCCCACCCCGAGAACCACGAGGGGCGCAGCGGCACAGCCGTAGGGTGCAGTCGCAGCAGCCGCCACCCCTCCCCTGCGGAGGGAGGCCCGGCCCCGAGCCGCTCCCCCGGGCGAAGGGAGGGCGAGGGAGGAGAGGGGAGGGGCGCGGGTTGGGGACGGTCTCGCGTTCGCCGTCGGCTATGGAGGAGGAGGAGGAGGAGGAGGAGGAGGAGGAGGAGGAGGAGGAGGAGGAGGAGGAGGATGCGGAGGAGGAGGAGGAGGAGGAGGAGGAGGAGGAGGATGCGGATGCGGAGGAGGGGGGATGTGGCATATGAGACCGCATCGTGGCCGTGCGCGCCCCGAAGGCGCCTCACGAGGCCACATCTATAGGGGTCATGCAGGTGAGCCACTGTCTGTCAACGTTGTTCCTCCGGCGGGTTCCCCACCTGGTCGCACTGTGCACGCATGGTGGCCAGATTTTGTTCCGCACTGTTCCGAGGTCAGATGGGAGAGGTGGAGATAGAGATATATGTATATATATATATATATCAAAACATAGAGACTCCAGCACATCTTCAATTATTAAATGGGAGGAGGGTGCGTGAGACACACAGCCGGAATTCACCAGAAGTGTTGCACGATGCTTTGTTTCAACGCGTTTTTTCGCATAGAACGGAGCTTAGATGTTGATTGAAATTTGTGGAGGCCGCCCTACAGTGCATGGGGGAAAGGCGCTCCACAGGCTATCAGTGAAAAGGTTAGACTTTAGAAAGGAAATCCGAACATACTAAGTTACTGCAACTACATATGTAAGCACACATGGCCACGTGCTGGAAAGATCAGAGAGAGAGAGAGAGACAGAGAAAAAGAGATAGAGATAAAGAGAGAGAGAAAGGGAGGGAGAGAGCCAGTGAGGAACGAGAGGCAGAGAGAGAGAGAGACAGAGAGAGAGGTCGGAGGAGGGAGGAACGGGAGGGAGGAATGGTCGAGGTTCGTGGGTCTAGGCCTTCTTTTTTGTGTCAGGGGGCCAGCAGCGAGCGCGGTGGGATTGATGAGTCCGGGAGTCTTTGTCCAACGGGTCTTCAAAGGGATCCCTCTTCTCCTCCCTGTTTGGCCTTCCGGGGGGCGCCTTGTCGCCGCGGGTGACCGCGCTCGAACATCTGGTCGCGGTGGTGTTTGGAGGCTTTCGGGATCATCCGGGAGCCTCGGGAAACGCGCATGCCCCACCCCGACCAGGCAGCCCTTGTGATGGTACATCTTCCCAGGGCGTCCACGTAACGTTCTCATATCGCCCTTGAAGCGCTTTGGAGCGGCCGCGGTGCCCGACACATCTTTCAGCCAGTGTTTATCATCCCGAGGAATATGTTCATAGCGCCGTAAGGATTCATTGATCGCCGCCGGGCCATGGGGTGCTTGCGACAGCGAAAGATTGGGAGCCGTCGGGCCGTTGAACGCCGTCGGGCCTCCAGAAAAGGTAGCCGGCAGGGCCGTGACGACAACCCGCGTTTCTCGGTGTGCGCTGGAGAATTTGTTCTTTTCCACTGTTGCTCCGTAAGGGCTCGAAAACAAGAGTGCTTGGCGCCTTGTGCGGCCCGAAGCGCAACGACGGGTCATCCAGGTACTCGTTGTCATTGTCCCTCCTCCTCCTGCTCCTACTCCTCCTCCCTGCAGCTCGGCGCCGCGCGGGGAGTGCATTGCAGAGCCGCGTGGCCGCGTGGCCACCGGCACCGCGTGGCGATCGTCATTCTGCTTTTGTCCGTACCACCCTCGGGGATCGTTCTTTACGAGTGCGCGCGCATTTTTGGGCGCCGCGCGAGGTGGAGAGCCGAGAGGAGTCCTGGCGCGAGCTCAAGGATCCCCGCATGCTGAAGGGGAACGAGGCAGGTGGAGGAAGGGGGGAGTTGACGAGTAGGAGAAAGAGGGAGAGAGAAGTAAAGAGAGAGAAAGAGAGAGAGAGAGAGAAACAAAAAAAAATAGGCACCTCAGCGGTGCGGTGGAAGCTCTTCATAAGCTGGAGCGCAAGGCTGCGAAGAGGGCCTCTGGTGGGAGGCACTGCAGGTAGCCGCCAAGCGGGGCCAGAGTGGCGCAGGCGGTAATTCTGAGCGCGTGGCCATGGGTGCTCAGAATCCCATTGCGTCCAGCATGCGCCTGAGTGCTCGGCCAATGTGGAGCAGCACTGCGAGGCGTCTGTCGGCCTGCGAGTGGCATGCTTAGGTGCGTGCGCTCCTGCCGGACTCGGCTTGGGTTTCTCGGTCGGGTTCGGGGCCGTCCTGGGGCGCAGTCTGGTAACATTCGCCGAGGTTTCCGGGGTGCTGGTTTGGATCTCTGGTCTGGGTTCTTGGGGTGGGTCGGGCCGTCCCCGCGGGGGTGGGGCGTGCGGCTTCCGAGATCCGCGCTGGTCTCGGAGGGCGCTTGCTCTGGTCCGTGCCCTGTCCCGGGTCCTCGTCGCCGCGTGCGCTCGGAGGATGCCGCCGCCCGTCGTCGGGAGCGATGGCGGGCTGGGCTTGGGGCGGGCGCGAGAGGCGCCGTGCCTTCGCAGGACTGTTCGGGGCGTCCGCGGCCTGCGGGGCCGCGTGCGCTGCCAGGCGGTGCGCAGAGAGACAGAGAGAGCGAGAGAGAAGGATCGAGAGAAAATAGAGGCGGGAAAGAGAGAGGGAGAGAGAAAGAGAGAGAGAGAGAGAGAGATGACGAGGGGCGCATGTTCAAAATTTGCCGGGCGAGGACGCTGACGAGCAGGATGGGGTGGCGTTTTCGGGATGCCCCTGGAGGTTGCAGCGGTTCTCCAGAGGCCCAAGAGGGTTCAGAACCGCCCCAACTTCTTGACCCTCAATGCCCCATGAGGAGGAGAACAACGAAAAGGAGCAGGCTGATGAGGAGGAGGAGGAGGAGGAGGAGGAGGAGGAGGACGTGAGAGGAGGAGCAAAAGGGAGGAGGAGGAGGAGGAGGAGGCGAGGGGCGCAAGAGGTGGAAGAGGAGGAGGAGAAGAAAGAGGGCCGCAAGAGGAGGAGGAGGAGGAGGAGGAGGAGGAGGAGGAGGAGGAGACAGAGGAGGAGGAGGAGGAGGAGGAGGAGGAGGAGGAGGAGGAGGTGCAAGGCTTGGGAGGTTGCGAGGAAGAGGAGGAGGAGGCCCTGGGGTGAAGGCGCAGGGAGGCGCGAAGAGCAGGGACTGAGGCACCGCAATGGCCACACCCCGCAGGGGGCCCTGGGAGCCCTGGAGGACCCCCGCCCTGAGGCCTTCGGGGCTGACGAGGGAAGCAACCATTCGAATAACGTCGACCTTCGAAGCCCCATCCTCGAACCATCAACCTCGACGACGTGGCCGCAGAGGCCCAATCGAGTCCTCCGGGGCTGCCGAGGGAACCATCCTTTCGCAGAGCCTTGGCCCTCGAGGCTCCATCCTCGCAGCCTCATCCTTTGGGTGTTCGATCGTGGTCCCCTTTGGCAAGTGCAGCCGTCCAGCTTCCGCGCCGAAGACCGCCGGAGGCTGCCAAGGACCGCCAGAAGCCGCCGAAAACCGTCGGAGCCCGCCAGAAGACCGCGGAATGTCGATGGGGGAGATCCGATGTTTTGGTTTCTTCGATGCGGGGCCCCCAGGAGCCTCGACCCAATCCCCGGGACATGCGCTACATCCTGAGTCGCCTCACTTTCGCGGTGTCCAGCGAGGGCCTCTTTGAGGCCGAAGGCCGAGAATCGAATCCGTTGTGTTTTCTTTCAACGCGGTGGAGTTTTGTGAAGGGGTCCATGGCCGATTGCGTGGCATTCTCAACGACGTCGGCGACGATGACGGCGACGGCCCGCGACGGTGGCGGCGGCAGTGGGCCTCGGCGGAGGCGCCCCGCAGGACCGCGTGGACCGCGGCGACTGGGAGGGCAGGATCGAGCAGCTCAGGCGCGGCCTGCAGGAGCCGCCTCCCTCGGGCTTTGCTGCTGCTCCTGCTGCTGCTGCTGCTGCTGCTGTAGTGGATCGAATCCGAATGAGCGCGAGCGAGCGAGCGAGCCCTTCCCCCCCTCCTTCTTTCCTCTCCTCCTCCCCTCTCTCCCTCCCCATGCCCGCCCTTTCCTCTTTCGCGTCCCCTCCTCTCCTCTTTTCCCCTCGTCTATGGCTCGCCGGCCGGCGCGGCCGTCGTCAGCCTCGTCAGCGTCGCCGCCGCCGCCGTCGGCATCATCATCATCATCATCATCATCATCATCATCATCATCATCATCATCATCATCATCATCATCATCAGCAGCAGCAGCAGCAGCAGCAGTAGCAGCATCAGCATCAGCATCAGCATCATCATCACCGTCACCGTCACCGTCACCGTCATCGTCATCGTCATCGTCATCATCACCACCATCATCAGCATCATCAGCATCACCACCATCACCATCACCGTCACCATCACCACCACTGACACCACCACCATCACCATCACCATTACCACTACCATTGCCATCACCATCATAATCACTATCATCATCATCATCATCAGCATCAGCATCAGCATCAACATCAGCATCATCATCATCATCATCCTCGTCATCATCCCCTCTCCCCATCCCCATCCCCCTCATGTTCACCATCATCATCAGCATCATCATCATCATCATCATCAGCATCATCATCATTAGCATCGGCATCAAGGCTCAAGGCAAGAACCGTGTAAGGTAAGGAACGTGCAAGAACTGCGTAAGATAAGCTTCTTCTCGCGTTATCTCCGCACCCAAAGATGTCTTATGCTAATTGTCGGGCTGGTCTGCACGTTGATGCACGTGGCAAACGTGATGCTGAGACTGCCAGCTTGAGTAATACTCAGGTTTCGGAGGAGCCCACCCTCAGGGACCTCTACTCGTTGATCGTCAAGGGCCAGGAGGAGGCGAAGCTCGAGAAATCGAAGATGAAGCAGGACATACATGACATCTCAGGCAAGGTGGACACCGCGAACACCAAGGCCGACTTTCCATGGAGCTTGCGAAACAGGCGCTCCAGGCATGCAATGTTGGAAGCTCCTCGGGGGCTTCGTCCGGCGGTGTTGCTCCTGCGACTGGCAGCACGCGCGGCCCCGCCGTATTTGGGTCATCGTCTTAACTGAGCGAGGACATCAATGGTCGAAGGGCCGTTGTGGGAGGGTTCGAAGACTATTCAAATAAATCCGCAATGGAGCCAGCTATCGACGTCATCATAGCTGCCTGCACGGAGCGGTCTTTGATCGATTTCGTTTATTGTGCCAGTCCCGGGAACCACGCCAACATCGTTTTTAAGCACTCGGATTACATGTTTGATCTCATGGGCATGTGGCGGCACGAGTTCATCGCTCAACCAATTACAATAGATGGCAAGGCTGTTGTGACGCGCGCGTATCAGGGTAACCAGGTAGAGCACGAGCTGATCTGCAGGTGGCACCAGCCTGAGGAGGTACGTCAGGGATTCATGTCATCCTTGCGCGCTAACGGCTGTCATCGTTTCGTTAGGTTCGAGAGAGCGGTGGCCTTCAAGAAGAAGGTCTTGGCGGGCTTCGCGGAGCAAGGGGGCTTGTCCGTTACGACGTCGAACTTTCCCAGTGAGCTAACTGCGGCGAAAGTGAACCGCGACAAGTTGCAGGAAGCGTGCGACACGGCCGTTCTTGCTGCGAAGGCGCGTTTTCACGCATATGTTGTTTGGAGGCTCTCAAGGAACGGGGGGTGGAGCGTTCAGGGGGATCAGAGTAATTCGTTTCAGTGGTAATGGAGTCACTCGAGACCCCAGTGGGGATTTCACCCAAACTTAGAACTTGCATGGGGCTGTCTTTTACTGCAGGAGTTCAATTGCATGCCAGGGGGCTTCTGTGATCTTGTTAACGGTCACTGGGTTTCGTCTGGGCCCTCAGTACGACACATTGTAGGTTGTGCGATCAGCCGTTCTACACAAGGCACGTCCAATAGCAATAAGAAGCCGATCGTACCTAAGATTTGCTCGACCCGCACGCTTCCATTGTTTTCTCAATGGTAGCCGATTTCTTCGGCCAGCGCTCATACCCCAGCGAGCTTCGGCTGATGATTATTTGTGTTGGGTCGGCCGTGCATTCGACTTGGTTCGCGTTGGGCTTCGGCCTGGTAGGGTCTTGATAGCACCTGCTGGTCTCAATGCTGAGCGTGGTGGTGCAGTGGAGGCTGCTGCGCGCGTTGGCGTCGCACGGCCATGCCGCTCCTGCGCCCGCGCCCTCTTCCCCGAGCGCGCCAGCTGCGGGCCCTGGAGCGCACCCCCGCAGGCACCTCCTTCAAGTTGACGGGTCTTGCAGAGGGAAAGGTGGGATAGGTTGCAGCGCTGTGGCACGCGACCCTGGCGGCGTGGAACTTCGCGCGCTGCCGCATTGCGTGGCTGGCGATGGTAGCGAGTCCGAGGCCGAGAGGCGTAAGCGTACATGCAGCTTCGAAATCTGCTGCACGAAGGGCACCGGATGACTTGTGATAGAGGGTGACATCGAATCAGTCATGAACTGGTGATGTGTGGTTTGGCATTGTTGGGATGAGGCGTCAGCAGCTTCTCATCGAAGTGTCATTGAGCTTTTGTCAAAGGCGCATTGAGCCGAGTTTCGGCAAGTTCGCCGAGCGCTCAACCGTCGCGCAGACCATCTAGCCAATGTTGAGGTTGACTCTCCTTTTCTTTCTGTTGTCTTGACGGCGGCGCACTTGGCGCCAGCCATGAGGCCGCAGTCAAAATTGATGACGTATCGTGCATTCGCCCACTGGCAACGCCTCGCGCGGCGTCGCTCCAGGACGCCGATGGTGTGATTCCAGATGGTGCCGCGCGCTTCGTCTTCTACTGCGCAGTCGAAACGCGCTTGGTTAAGCGGGAATCTGCCCGCTTTTCGCGGCTGTCCACCTCTCGATGTTGCGCGCGCTGCGCGTCGCTGTCTTTCGGGCGCGAAGCTTTTGCCCAAGCAGTTGATGATCGCGCGGCTCCGCCGCCTCCAGCCCATCGCCATTTTACCGTGCTTGCCAAAAGCAGTGAACGGCGCAGCCTTGGACGCTATCTGGGCGATTTTGCCTCATTTGCGAGTGGCGCTTTTCATGCCGCCATGGCCATTCCATCGTTGGCCTGAACGCCGTCCTTTCCCTTCTTGCCCAGAGGCGCTGACGCGGGAGACTTGGTCTCGTTTTGGCGAGTGCTGATGGGCCGAAGACTTTCGTCTGAGTTAGACGCCGACGGTTGTTGCGAACTTTCGGAAACGCAGCATTGATCCAGCCCGATGCGCATGGGCGCTCCGGCGCATGCGGCAGATTTCCGACGAACGGCGATTTCGTGAGCGCCGAGCCTGCGCCGCTACGATCACGTCGTCGCCGCCGCAGGGCAGCGCGTGGGCGGCTAGTTTCCGGGCCGCTGCGTCGGAATATTGCGCGTCGGACGCGCGGGGCACATGCCGGCAATTTCAGTTAGGCGTCGTCTTGCGCGCGACCGCCCCGATCGCAGCGAGCGGACTCAAACTTTGCCGGAAAGGTCGTTTCAAAATGATGCCGGTTATTGCGTTTTCCGAGGTGCCCGCCAGATTTTCGAATCGATCTTTCCGCGCTGCCCGTCGTTCGCGCGGCTTCGATCGGCCAGCCAGCGCGGCGCGCTGGGCAAGCTAGGGCAGCGCGGACTATGGAAATTCATGGCCAGGAACTACACATGAAGGCCCCAGCGTTTTCACGGGCTGCGCGGGGGTCGCGCGGATGGGGGGGGCATTACTGTCAAGGGGTAGTTCGCGCGGAATTCAATTACTTAATCATCGTCTCTTCTCTCCGGCAGAACTTTCTACTCGGAAGCAGCCGTGCGGCCTCATTCACCAGATCTGCGCGTCTGCGGCTTCTTGGTCGGCTGGCGCGTGGGCCCGCAACCAGATTGCTGCCCGAAGGCTGCGCGCAGTCCGAATTGGGGCCACGATGATACGCCGCCGTGTTCCACGGAGGGAGATGATGAACATTACGGTCGTCGACAGAGGCGCATTTTGATTCAGATTCGAGCTGACAATGGTTTCGTTGATTTGGGCGTGGTGGCCGCTCGACGCACTTACTTACCAATACTTCGGGCATGCGCGGCTCATGGGCAGTTTCCCTGAGTTGTTGTTATACCAGGTCTTCGGATGGAATCGACATTAACCCCATGCCGGGGATGATAAAGTACCCCCCCTTAAGTCGTTAGAGTTGTTTATCCTCGGCCTAGAAGGGTTTCAAATATAGGCGGAGGGCGCGGAGGCCGAACTTCATCATCACTGGGAAAGTTCGCCATCGAGGTTACTTTCTGCTTATGTTGAGATAGCAACATCAAGCGAAGCGAACACGTTTTTTTTTTTTCTGGATGTCTCAAGCGAAACCAATAATTTCGGGAGGCAGGCTCAAACGAAACGATCAATTACCATTTCTCTTCCTCCCCGTGGCCCCTGAACTTGTTTATCGCTGTGCTTTATTATCCAAGGAAACCGAGGCAGGTGAGCTACCCTGCACGAGCAGATTGAAAGTTTAATTTCCATTAAGCGCCTACAAATTAAATTTGATAAGTTTTGAACTTTGGATTTTTGCTATCTCCTTCTCCTCTTCTCCTCTTGCTGTTTCTCCTTTTCCTCCTCCTCCTCTTCTTCCTCTACCTCCTCGTCTGTTTCTATATTTCTATGTATCTCTCTATCTTTCTTCTCCTCCCCCTGCCCCCCTGAACTTGTTTATCGCTGGAGTTCACTATCCATGGAACTCGTTAATGGGGCCGGCGCAAGCGTCAATTCATATCTATAACAAATAATAATAAATTCATGGAGATCTATAAGGAATCCATAGGAATCTAAAGAAACCCACAGGAATCGATCGAAATCTATGAGTATTCATATAGAAATATACAGGGATTTACAACAATACATAGGGATGTCGCGGAGAATGTCTCAACCGACACAAATCATTGTTGAGGATGTCTCATAGAGGACCAAAGACCAAGGAACCTCAACATATCTTTGGCTTTTTCTTCTTGATATCTCTTTATGCTGGCTCTGGCGGGTAACTCTTATTATCTCCCCGAAAACTCGCCGAACACCCCGAACTTTATTATCCCAGTGTGTTCATTATCCGCGGCATGGGGTTATGCGGGACGTTTACATACGCGCAGATTTGTTGATTGACAGGGCCATGCCTGATCTGGGCCATAGAAATTAGAAGCTCAAGTGGCATCTTCTTCTTTCAAACATATCACATGGATTTAAAGACTGCTTCGAGTGCTGGATCCGCTGCAGACTGAAACTCTTTCTGATAGCGGTAAGCACAAGCAGTCAAGCATCATCATCATCATGATCAATTTCCCCAGCCACATTCCCTTCATCCTCGTAGCCATCGTCACCACCATCCTCATCACCAGCGCCATCCTCATCCCCAACCCCATCCCCATTCCCATCCCCCTTCATCTGCATCATCGTCATCGAAATCGTTATCACCTTCGTCCTCGTCATCATCATCACCATGAGCACCGTCATCGTCGTCGCCTTCGCCGTCGATGTCGTCGTCGTCGCCGCCATCGTCGTCGCCATCGCCACCGCCGTCATCATCATCATCAGCAGCAGTGTCATCGTCGTCGTCATCAGCATCAGCAGCCCTCGCCGCCTGCCGCCCACCGCCCGCCGCTGTCGCCGCCGTGGTCACCTTCGTTGTGGCACGGTGAAAAGAGGAGGGGGGGAGGAGGAGGAGGAGGAGGAGGAGGAGGAGGAGGAAAAAAAAGTTGAAGAGGAAAAGGAAGAGGAGGAGGAGGAGGAGGAGAAAGAGGAGGAGAAGGAGTTCAAGGGATGGGTGCGGGGGAGGAGGGAGGAGAGAAGGAGTAGGGTGGTTTTGGCATGGATAGGAGCGCCGGGAAGAGGGTGATTGAGATGGGGAGTCTATGGAGGTTGAGGGCAGGAGGTCAGGAGAAACACCGGGAGGAGCAAGAGGATGCGCAGGAGGTGCAGCAGCAACAGGACGGCGATAGTGATGGGGGATGTGGAGCTCCCTGTGCCCGCGACACCACTTACACGCAGCAGGCACGCACACAAACAAACCAAACAGAGAAGGAGCAAGATAATGAGAAGTGAAATGGCGCGGGGACGAGGAGGAGGACGAGCAGAGCGAGGTTCCCGCTCCCCACTTCGCACGCAGGATGAGGCCCGCCAGGCTGGCGACGCAGCGGAGCAGGTGACCCGCCTCGCGAGGAGCCCCCCCCCGCCGAGGCACCCTGGGGGGGTGCTGCCATGGGGGGGCCCCGGGCCCGAGGTGGCTCCAGCTTCTGCATGGAGGCTGCCACGGCTTCAACAACGCCCGTCACGAGGCCCAGGAGTTCCAGGGCGGGGCGCAGCGCTCGGAGCACCTCTTGGGCCAGGGCCACCCCTGGCAGCCGCCGGCCCTGGGGGAATTGGAGGGGGGGTGGGAGCTTTGGGGCGCCTCTGGGGGCACTCGGTCAGAGCCCCGAATCATCAGGGGCAACTCGGGTCAGGGATAGTTCGGGTTCGTTTTTTCGGGAATCCAAGCCCGAGTTACCCCGGATAACTCGGGCGTCCAGAGCCCCGAAGCATCAGGGGTAACTCGGGTCAGGGCTAACTCGGGTTCCTTTCTTCGGGAATCTAAACCCGACTTACCCCGGACCTGAGTTACCCCGGATAACTCGGGCGCCCAACTTGGTTGGGCCCCTTGAGGCCCCCTCGGAGACCTCCGAAGACTCCTGGAGGACCCCCAGTGATTGAGGATGAGGCCTATCTCGGAAGTCCCCGAGCGGCGCGATGACCAAACCAGGTGGTGAATCAGTATGGGTTCGGGGTTACCGCACGGTGGAGGTTGGTCGATCTCCGAGGACGTCTCGGTGAGGGGCCAGGCCGCCTACGATCCGATGCGATGCGATTCGATTCGATTTGCCCGCTGGAGCCGCGAATCTGATTCGATTCGGCTCGATCCACTGGCATTGACCGGGACCAGCAGGAGCTGGGGGCGGCGATCCGATTTTGATTCGATTGGGGACGTTTTGTTTTAGATCCGATTTGTTGTCGATCCGATCCAATTTCGCGATTCGATTCAGCTCGGGCCTGACAGTGAGGGAGGAGGGGTTGGGGTTCACATCCTGCTCCGTGAACAAAGAACGCTGCTGCTCCTCTTGTCCTCGTTCCCGCTCTCTTCTCCTTCCTTCTCTCCTGCTCCTCGCTCCTTGCCTCCTTTCCTCCCCCAGGCAGCACGGACTGCCAGGAGCCAGAGACTCGGGGGCCCTCGAACTTAGTCCGTGGGGAGCCGGGGCTACCGCGCAGTTTTGGGACTCGGGCCGTTCTCCGAGGACGTCTCGGGCGACTGTGGCCTCGTAGGGTCCCAGGGCCGTGCGGCAACGGAGCGCGCGGTGAGGTCGTTGAGGATTCCGAGGTCACCGCGCGGCCCGTCCCCACACGGGTCCGTGGAGCCCCCGAAGAGGTTGCGCGGGGTCCGTGGCCCATCAGTTGGGCGGCTGTGTGCACCTTGGAACACATCTCGGACTGCCCGATCCTGAGCATGGCGGTCCTCACGGACCGATCTGGCCTGAGAGGTCCCGCGCAAGAACGGCCTCGGGAGACTGGGTCGTGGGCCTCTTCTGATGCCCTCCGACCTTTGGAGAATGTTTCTGCGTCTTCGGAGAAGGCTTCGAATTCTCATCAGAAGGCGCGAGGGCTTCTAAGAGGCCCCGCCGCCTTCTGGCAAGGCCTGCCCCCTCTCTCAGGGGCAACGATAGGGGGGATAGGCATAGGGGGGGATGCATCGGCCCCCAATCGCACATTGATTGCCGATCGGAGCCCGACAGCCCCAACCTGCACAGGAACGTTCGGATTCACTATCGCAGGCCCATCGCTGATCTGTCGACGATGTATCGCCGATTCCAGGTCGATGTTTCCCCCCTTATCCCTATCCCCCCCTATCGTTGCCCCTCACTCTCGCTTCCCCTCGGGGCTCGCCGTCAATTCTTGCGGCGCCGAGGTGGGTCGTGACCCCCCTCCTGCTCGTGGAATCGGGCGCACTGGTGGCTGCGCATGTCCAGTCCTCAGGAGTGGACAAAGCACACAGACACAACTGCTCGGCGATTCCGCAGGAGGATGTGGAAAACGTGGGAAGCGGAGGGGAAGATGCACATCCAGAAACTGTGGGGAACATGGGGGGATCCTGGGCTGTGTCTCCACTTATTGCGAAGGCCTTACGGCCGGTGCCGCCGACCCTGAATGGCGAGTTTGTGGGCCTCTTGGGAAGCTCTTAGGGGCCGCTTGGGATGTGCCTCCCTTTCTTTGTGTGTCCACGGGCCCCGTCCAGACCGCCCCGCGGGCCTCGCCGCGGGAGCGGCCTCCTGCGGCGCGGCCGGCCCCGTGGGGCGGGCCGCTGACGACGGCCCCGCCGCGCCGGATCTGCTATGCCTCTGGTTGGGCACATCTCGGGGGCCTGAAGAAGGAACCCTTTTCGTTGGGGAGGGGCTCCGTGCTCCTTGATTGTTTCGTAGCTTGCCTTGGATTTCCCTCAGGTTTTCGATACGAGATCGAAGTTCAACTTATGGAAACTAGGGACCTCGTTCCTTATTTAGGGTTCCTTAGGTCAACGCCTCGACTGTACATCTCGGGGGCAACGATGGGAGGGGGGGGGACAGACACAGGAGGGGGATGCTTCGACCCCCAATCGCCCCTGGCTGGGAACGTAATTATCGGCGGCGCGCCCGCGGGAAAGAGAGAGAGGGGGCGAGCCATCTCGGAAGGCCAGGAAGGCCTCGGGCGTTCTGAGAAGTGTTCGAAGCCGCCTCCGAAAACACAGACAACTTCTCCGAAGGCCAGGTGGCTTCTGAGAAGCCCCGCCGCCTTCTGATAAGGTCTTCTCCTTCTCGATTCCCCGCCTCGCTCGCCGCCGACGGCACGGGCATGAACCGTCGACGCTTCCCGCGGATGGCCTGGAGCTGCGCCTGACACCCCTGGTGGCGCCTCGGGCCTCTGGAGGCTTCCAGGGGGACTCCAGAGGTGGAGGCCTTCTAGATGAGGCTGGAGCGGATGGGGCGCAGGATCGCGCGATGCATCGCGATGCATCGCCGCCTCCCACGCCGCCCCTGGCGCGGCTCCGCGCCCCGGAGAGGGGGCTCCAGCACCGATGCGGACCTCCGACAGTGTCTTTTTGTGCATTGTGCGTCCTTCTCCAGCTCCAGCCGGGCGCAGCGTGGACCTCTTGTGGCAAGGGAGCGGAGCGGTGATGTTCTCGAGGGCCTGGTCGGTGGGATGGAAACGAACCCCCGCTGACACCTGTCCTGGACTCAGCGCGCGTTCAGTGCTGAATGCGTGCTGATAGCACGGCCCTCTGTTGGGCCTCCAGGGCAAGTTGCTGCGGAGGTGGGGAAGCGCTCCTGCAAGTCCTTTTTCTCCCGCCTGTGCTGAACTGTGTATTCACCTATCTTGCCAGAAACAAAATGCATACCGAGCTTCACATGATGCAGGCCGCAACGTCGATGGGAGCCCCCGCACTCTATACATACCTATATTACCACCCTTCGGATGATGGGGAGGTTCGGGGGGAGGAACCATCGTCTCTCTCAATCCATCTCACGATCGATCCCACTATGACAGTAATATCGATCGCACACTCGACATCGCTACAGATCTCAGAATCGATCTCACTATCCCTCTCGCTATCGATCTCACTATCGATCTAGCTGTCGATCTTACACACGACCTCACAGCCAACCTCACTATGGATATCGCTATCGATCTTACTGTCGATCCCACTATCGATCTCACTAACAATATCACTATTGAACTCAGTACCTATATCGCTATCGATATCAGTACCGATCGCATGATCGATAGAAACATCGATACCACGATCGATGTTACTATCGATCTCACCATCGATCTCACTATCGAATTCACTATCGATCTCACTAACTATCGAGCTCACTATCGATCTCATTATCGATCCCTAGACTATCGATCTCACGAATGGTCTCACGGGACACCACGGAACACCACCAGGACACCATCGGGGCACCGCCGGGACTCCAATCGAGTTACCATCGGCACTCCAACCAATCGGGACACCAATTTGGACACCATTGGGACACCACTAGGACACCACCAGGACACCATCGGGACACCGCCTGACACCATCGGGACACCATGGCGGGACATCCCCGGAACCCGCCCGCCAACTGGGGGGAGGACTTCTGTCCTCGCCGCGTCGCCCACCCATGCAGCTTCGCCTCGCCCGCACGCGCGACACGAACCCGAACGCGCGCACACTGGCTTCCCTCTGGGGGGATCTGCGTTCTTTTTCCATCTCACCCCCTCGCCTCCGATTGCATATTGCATTCCACCGCGTTCCTGGCCGGGCTGATCCCGGGCCCAGGATCGATGTATACGCCTCCCCCTGGGCGTGCAAACCGCCCCTGTGCCCAGGGTGCTCCTGGCCAGGGGGGTCGGGCACGTGTGCGTGTCGTCGCTCACCTGCCGCAGGGTGCCCCTCGACCATCCGCACAGGCGCGCTGCGCCCGCCCTCCTGGCACGGACTCGACCCGCCGGAGCCTCGGTCCGCCAGGGGGGCTCGGCTCGCCGGGGGCTCGCTCCGCCGGGGGCTCGCTCCGCCATAGGGCTCGCTGCGCCGGTGCCCGGCTCGCCCGCCTCGAGTCGCCGAGGCTCGGTTCGCCGAGGCTCGGTTCGCCGAGGGTCGGTTGGCCCGCCTCGTTTCGCCCGAGGCTCGTTATGCCGGAGTCTCGTTTCGACAGGGTCTCGTTTCGACAGGGTCTCGTGTCGCCGGGGCTCCTTTCGCTGGGGCTCATTTCGCTGGGGCTCGTTTCGCTGGGGTCTCTTTTCGCCGGGGCCCGTTTCGCGGGGGCACGCTTCGTCGGGCTCGTTTCGCGGGGGCTCGTTCCGCCAGGGCTTGCTTCGCTGAGGCTCGCTTCGCCAGTCGCGTGAAGGATCCAGAGGGGAAGGAGTGGGAGCAGGCGGGCGGACCCCACAACCGGCGGGCCGGGTCGGGCGGGCGGACCCTACGGGGCGTGTCGAGTCGGGCGAGCGGGACAGGAAAGGAAGACGCGTCGTCGAGTGAGCACGCGCGAGCCCTGACGGGCGGGTCGGGTCGGGCATGCGGACCCTAACGGGCGGGCGGGGTCGGGCGGGCAAGGGCGGGTCGGGTCGGGTCGGGTCGGGCGGAGCCTGGCGATTCGAGCCCCGAGCAAATCGAGATTCGGGCGAACCTCCCCGAGCACCCCTCCCCGATGTGTATGCCCCTGCAGGCATCGCAAGAACCCTTCAGAGCCCCGCAAGGCGCCGTCTGCCTCCGCTCGCCCCCAATCCATTCTCCGCCGCTCACGCACAGTCAACGAGGTCTGCGAGCCGCCTCGTCCTTGAGCTCGCCCTCCTCGCGCCCAGGAGAAACCTCGTGGGGCCGCCTTTTCCGCTCGGGCTCCCCTCCTCCCGGATCTTCGGCAAGCTGCACGGACACCACCGGTCAGACTTCCGGGCGAGCCTTTTTGGGGCCGGCGCTGGGCCCTCGCCCCGCGCCCCCCTCCCGGGGCGCACGGACCGTGCCAGGAGGCCTTGCCCAGGGGCAGGGCTGGGCCTAAACGGTGTTTTGGCGATTTCGTGGGCCGTTTTCGTTTCGACTCCGGTTTGCGGTAATTAGAGGTGGATTGGAGGCAACACGAGGGAAGACGAAAACAAACCGAGGACGAAAAACACCGTTTAGGTTCAGCCTGCCCAGGGGCGTGGTGGGAGGGGGGGGGGTCCAGTGCCGACCCAGAACCAATCCGCGCCGGCCTCCAGGGCTCCGGCGCGTGGATTCGCGACGGGTGCCGTTTCCGCACAGAGTCGGCGATCCGTCGCCAAGTTTGGTGGCATTGGCCAAATGGTCCGGGGTTAGGTACCTGCCCCGACCCGTAATCCGTAGTGGGCTCATCAAAGCGTATGATACGTGGGATGTCAAGAATCGAGAGAGACAGAGAGAGAGAGGGAGGGAGTGAGGGAGGGAGTGGAAGGAGCAGGAAGGTGGAGGCCAGGGGGCTTGGCAGCACTGAGGCGCGGAACTGTGCCGGCAGATCCAAAGTCGCTTTGGCGCGGATTGGCTGGCACATCTAGAAGCATTCCGAGTGTTTGGTTCCTGCCCCCAGATCGGATCCGTGGACCTGAAAGCCAAGAGGTTGAGAGGAGGACCGGTCTCGGCTCGCCATGGGCTCTGTTCTTCGGGTCACGCCCCCAGTGATGAGCGCGTTTTCCACCACCACCACCACCATAAGTTGGATGGGGCGAAGGGGGAGGAGGAGGAGGAGGAGGAGGAGGAGGAGGAGGAGGAGGAGGAGGAGGAGGACCCCCCCTCCAACTTATGGTGGCGGTGGTGGAAAACACGCTCATCACCCAGATCCAATTCGTGAAGCCTCTGCGTGGCCGGGGCTCGCCGTGGCCAGAAAGCCTTGTCGCTCCTGCTGCGGCGCTCCCCTCTGGCAGCGCGATGACGGTGACCCTCTGCTTGGGAGGGGGGGAAAGCGATGGTCATGACCAATCGGCGGCGGGCGCGGGGGGGAAATGAGAAGGGGCGGAGCTTCCGAGGCTTCTGAGAAGTTTCTGGACTTCTGAGTGGGCTTCTGAGAAGTTCTGTCTGTATTCGAAATAGGCCAAGGAAACGTCTCAGAAGCCCCCCGGACTTCTAAGAAGTCCCGCGGCCTTCTGAGAAGGCCTTCTCCTTCTCATTTCCCCCCTGGGCTCGTCGCCTAACCAAGACTGAACGCGGAACTCGTGGATCATCCTCGTGACTCAGCGATGGCCCGCATGGATCAAAGACCCGCGCGCTCCACTACTCGCAAAGTAAGCATTCGCAAATGGCCCGCCGCGGGAGATCTACGATCCATTACATAGAAGGAAGACCTGCTTTTTCTCGGACGTTTGCGAATCGCTTATCAACGGTGGCCCGCATGGACCACGGCCAAGATCGGCATCGCCAACATCCCGCGACACACGGGCCATCGTCGTCGGGCCTCTTCCCTCGGGTGCCTCCGTGCGCCCAGAGGCATCCGTTCCTCCTCCTCCTCCTCCTCCTCATGATTCGGGGGAAATTACCTGATGAATTGAACGACGCCTTCCTCGCTTGCTTTCCAGAGGGCGCGCTGGAGGCAGAGCCGATGAGATCAGCCGAAAATACTCGTCCTCTCGCCCTGGGCCACTGTGTTTGCAAGCTGATGCGCAATGCTCTCGCACAACCTCGCAACCTAGTTGCTCGTCGCTGTTGGTTTGTACCGGTCTCCGAGGAGGTTGTGGAGGGTATGCTGGAGCTCTCCCTTCTTCCCTCCTCTGCACGTGTGTTCAGTGCCCGTCGGAATTACTGGTACCACATATCCCGTCAGCTGTGTGAGCTGTCTCGGGGCTTGTCAGGATAGGCCAAACATTTGGTTCCTGTGCTGCGAGCTCGGTCTTGAAAACCTTGTGCCATGCCTGGGCCACCACTCGACGCTTCCGCCAAGGGTGGCTCGGGTGCCGTTTTGGTTGTTTTGCTGTAGGTGGTGATGAGACTGTTCATTATAGTTCGTGTCCTAGTCTGATCCTCTGTGTCCGTGAGTGCCTCCAGGTGTTGCCCCGAGGATGGGGATATGACCCTATCACCTCCTTTTTGTTCGCTCATGTCTCTGTGCATGATTGCGACCGTTTTTCCAGCGTTGCTCTTGCAATTGATGCCCTGCGCGCCATATTCAATGCTCAACGTGCTGCAGGCTCTAATGGTTCAAGGTGTGCCCGTCCCTCTTTCAGAGCGAGGTTGCTTGCGCAAGCATTCCGAAGCAGTGTGGCACGGCCTCTTGTCCGTAGTGGTCGAGACGCGGGGCAGGGGTGAACTTTGTCATCTCCTGGGGTTGCCCCGAGGATGCGGAGATGCCCCTTTCGCGCCACTTGTTGCTCGCTCTTGGCTGTGCATGTTCTGCACGCCACCTTCAATGCGCAGCGTGCTGCAGGCTCTTGCGGGGCAAGTTCTGCCCGTCTCCCTGTCAGAGCGAGGCTGCGTGCGCAGCCATTCCGAAGCAACGTGGCACGGCCTCTTGTCCGTAGCGGTCGAGGCGCGGGGCAGTGATGAGCTCTCTCAGATCGGGGCATGCCTCCTCCTCCTCCTCCTCCCACTCCTCCTCCTCCTCCTCCTCCTCCTCCTCCTCCTCCCTCCTCCTCCTCCTCCTCCTCCCCCCTCCCCTCCCACTCCTCCTCCTCCTCCTCCTCCTCCTCCTCCTCCTCCTCCTCCTTCCTCCTCCTCCTCATCCTCCTCCTCCTCCCACTCCTCACCCCATTCCTCACCCCTCACCCGCAGGAGGCTCGAGGGCGTCGAGCAGGTGCAGGAGCAGCTGGAGGGGCGGCTGGCGTCGGCCAGGAGCAGGCCGGCCGACGAGGAGCGCCCGGGGCGAAGCGGTCGTCGCGGTCGCCGTTGTAGCGTCGTCGTCGGCGTTCTCGTCGCGGTGGTCGGCGGTGTCGTCGTCCTCGTTCGGCGGCGCGCACCGGGGGCGGGGGGGCAGCTTTGGTTCAACTGGCTGTTTTTGAATCCGACGTTTTTTCCTCGGTGTTGGCCCTCGGGGGCCGTTTCCAGGCCCCAGGACTATGAAAAATAGATCCGGGACGAATAACTACCCCAGGGGAAGCGGTCGGGACCTTTGGGGCCGCGGATTGAAAAAATCACACCGGCAGATAACAGGGGAGAGATTGGCCTTCGGCACAGAAGGCCCCCGGCCTTGTGAGGAGTTTTTCTGAGCCTTCTCCGAAGCCCTGCCGCCTTCCGCAAAGGCCTGCGTCCCTTCGCTTCCCCGTCGGTGTGCCGCGGGCTCGTGGTCGCCGCCGTCTTCGTCGTTCTTGTCTTCGCCTGCGGCGGCGCAGGAAAACCATGATGTTTCCAGCATCGAGGTGTTACGTACGGTGATGTTTGTTCTTGGGGTGGGGATGGGGGGAGGCGTGAAACCTCTGAGGAGTTGTTTCGAGATTCTCGACCGGGGGGGAGACGAGAAGCTGGGCACTTGAGGTTTCTTGTTGTCCCTGTACGCATCCACTAGTATTCGGCCCAATCCTCCACCCATGGCTTGCTTGTGGTTCAAGGGCACAGTGGGAACCATTGGAGCCAAGAAACGTTCTTGTAGATGGCTCCCAGGAGAAAGGCTTGGAATTGGGCAGTGGTGCTGCGACGCAATAGCGTAGCATGCCAGTAACACGGAGTGATTTGTGCATTGCATTTTAATCGCCTTTGGCGGCCTCCAGGGGGCGCGGCTTCTTGGGGGCCCCTTGGAGTCCTGCTCAGAGCATCAGAGCAGTCTTAGGCGGGAAATAATCCGATTCCAAAATTGCGAACTTGGGGTCGCTTGCGGTTCGCTTTCGGGGCTCCTCGGGAGGTTCGGCTGTGTGCACGCTCCCTTGGGTCATTCTTGCAATCTTGGGTCATCTGGAAGATAGCTCCGTCTAAGATGGACCAAGACGGCCCACAAGAGGCACATCATTTCAAGTCGATGGTCCTCTGGACGTGTGTTGCCCAATGTGTGGTTAATTCCCCTGTTCGGTTCCACCGGTAGCGCGCAGCTCGTTTCGGCCCTCACCACACCGCCTCGGTCAGATTGAAGGCCATCCATGGACCAGCACACGCTGCCGCAAACACGCGCTCTGAGGATCACCGAACAAGTTTCAAGCATTCGGTATGATTGTGCAATCCTCGCATGGTGGGTCTCAAGAGCTACCAGAACGGCCCAAGAGGCACCCAACAACTCCCCATGACGGCACTCAAGAATGCCTCCAAGATTGCACCGAAGGGCCACAAGACGAGCCCCGTAATCGATATCGAAAGCGACCCAAGCATGCATCCCAAATTATCGTCTGAAACAAGTGATGCGACCTAAAGCGGGATCTGCCAGTGAGGTTAAGAAGGGCCATTGAAATTTGAAGGTCGGTGGCCGTTGGCCGCTAAACTTCGTACAAACTTGTGACATTCTCGAATCGAACGATGGACTGTAGATCAACGACTTGGGGCCGGGCGCAACACGTGCCAGGTGCGCGCCAGCTGATGTCTTCACCGTGCCCGCGGCCCAGCCGACCGTTGTCCGCTCCAGGAGTTCCAGCAGCGTCGCCGCCAGCGCCGTCTGCGTCGTCGTCGCCGCGCGCTCCTGAGCCGAGCTGGCCCCCCGCGCGCGCGGCGAGCGAGGCCCTCGAGCAGGTCGGGTCGTTCAGAGCCCCGAATCATTAGGGGTAGCTCGGGTCAGGGCTAACTCGGGCTCGTTTTTCGGGAATCCGAACCAGAGATGCCCCGGGCCCGAGGTACCCCGGATAACTCGGGCGTCCAGAGCCCCGAATCATCAGGGGTAACTCGGGTCAGGGCTAACTCGGGCTCGCTTTTCGGGAATTCCGAACCCGAGTTACCCCGGGCCCGAGTTACCCCGGATAACTCGGGCGTCCAGAGCCCCAAATCATCCGGGGTAACTCGGGCCAGGGCTAACTCGGGTTCGGATCGGGCGCCCAAGTCGTCGTCTTCTCGGTCGCCTGCCCCGCTCGCCGCGCCGCGGCCCGCCCGCGCCGCGGCCCGCCCGCGCCGCGGCCCGCCGGGTGCGCCCCCGCAGGACCGGGCCGCCTCCGGCGCCCAGGAGCTGCTGCTCCAGGCCCCCGCTCCAGAGCGGCCACGCGCAGCGGGGGCAGGGGGTAGGTCGGGCCCCTGTCCCCCTGCAGGGGGATTTTCGAATAGAAATAGAAAGTACACCAAAGATAGTCCAAAAACGGTCCAAGCATCGTCTGTGGATTTTTGTCGGGGGTATGTTTTGATCTTTTGGGGTTATTTTGTGGGTATGTTTTATTTTTCATAGAAAATCCCCTGTCCCTGTCCCCCTACAGGGGGATGTTCGACGAAGAATAGAACATACCCCAAAAAGAGTCCAAGAACAGTCCAGGCATCGTCTGGGGATTATTTGTTGGGGTATGTTTTGATATTTTTGCGGTATTTTTCTTTGTGCTTTTTATTTTTCATCGAAAAATCCCCCTGTATGGGGGACACGCCCGACACAAGGGTGGGGGGAGGGGCGCCGGCCCCATCTACAGACGGGAGGGCCGGCGTCTTCTAAGAAGCAGCCCCCTTCCACGGAGCATTCCGTGCCCCTGCCCCCCCTTGGTGCGCGCCGCCAGCCCCCGTCCCAGACCTGCTCGCGCCGGAAGCCAACCACGAGGGCAGGGTGGGGGCCGCTTTTTCGGCCTTCGGGGGCCCTCGCCGGGCCCCGGGACCGTCAACAGAAAGTCTCGGGAGGAAACATGTTCCTTTCCTCGATCGTTGCATTCTGGAATTCCCACGTCATGACCGACGCGATCGGTCGCTAGACCACGTTGTTTCAAAATCGGGCGCGACTGGTCGCGACATTTTTTTGAATCGGCCGCGACCAATTTAGAGTTACCGATCGCGACCAAACAAAACCGGTACGACAGGTTCATGTGACGTTGGCGCGTCAGCGATGCCGACCAAGGGGTTCAAGATTAAGTTTTGAGATGCGGAAGCACCGATGGACACGGTAACGCCATCGGACCCGATTGAATTCAACCTTCAACGATCGATTCAAGGTTGAATGATCGACGCGGTGTCAAAATCCTTCGTGCGTACCGACGCCGCCGTATCCTCTGTTCGGGTAGAGCCAGGACCCCAGGTAAGGGGACCCGGTTCGTGGTAGGGCCCTGGGGCCCCTGCATTGGCCAGAATCGCTAAACCAGGTCTGCCGCAGCTGGTGTTGCTTCTGGCGACGGCAGTCCCGGTCAGTGGAATGGGCCAGGGGGGCGCCCCCCAGTACACATCACCAAACCAGGCCCCACTAAACCCAGCTCTGCCAACGCCCGATTTGTTCGGGGTTGGGAGTGGTCGGGACTTCGTCAGAGCCCCGAATCATCAGGGATAACTCGGGTCAGGGCTAACTCGGGTTCGCTTTTCGGGATTCCGAACCCGCGTTACCCCGGGCCCGAGTTACCCCGGATAACTCGGGCGTCCAGAGCCCCAAATCATCAGGGGGTAACTCGGGTCAGGGCTAACTCGGGTTCGCTTTTCGGGATTCCGAACCCGCGTTACCCCGGGCCCGAGTTACCCCGGATAACTCGGGCGCCCAGAGCCCCAAATCATCAGGGGGTAACTCGGGTCAGGGCTAACTCGGGTTCGCTTTTCGGGAATCCAAACCCGCGTTACCCCGGGCCCGAGTTACCCCGGATAACTCGGGCGCCCAGCGTCCGGGGGCCCCGTCTGGACCAGATCCAGGCGTTCGAGCTCTGCGCGGGCCCGCTCCGAGAGCCGCCTCCTCGGAGGGCGCAGGCCGCGCGCCGGCACGCCGTGGCCCCGGCCAGGCCCTCCTGGGCGACGACGACGCCGACGACGGCGACGCCGACGACGACGGCGACGCTGACGCCGACGACGCCGCCGACGATGACCACGACGACGACGACGACGACGACGACGACGACGACCACGACGATGACAGCCACGCCGCCGACGACGACTACGACGACGACGACGACGGCGACGACGACAGACACGCCGCCGACGACGACGGCGACAACGACGGCGACGACGTCGACGACGACGCCGATTCCGATGACGACGACGAAGACGAAGACGAAGACGAAGACGAAGACGACGCGACGACGACGACGAACGACGACCACGACGTCTCCGAAGACGACGACGACTTGCATGGGCCCTTCCTGGCCAGGAGGGCACCTTCTGTGCCAGGAGGGCGCGTGATCGATCCAGTAGGTCGTGCGGCTCGTGGCTGGCACGCCGTGTCTCTAGGCCCCCAGGTGGGGGCCTAACAGATGAGGTCGGATGGTCGCGCCGCATCGACGACGCGGCTCGATGTGCAGCCCGACGTTTTCCACGCCGACGGCGCCGATGCATCGCCGACGTCGTTGGTGCATCGGCGATGCATCGGCGATGCATTGCCGATGCATCGGCGCGATACCCCGACCCCATGTATCCCGGCCCCACCTAGGAAGCCTCTAGTGCCATTTGTCTTGGTCAGGATCGGCTGGGCTAGAAGCGGGAGTGAGGTGCATAGTCGCCCCCCCCCACCCCGACCTTTCGCGCCCTCGGCGCGTCGTTCTCCAGAACGGGCCTCCTCCCGCATCCTGAGCTTCATCTGAGCTGATGCGGCTTCATGGCCCCAGCCCTTAGTCTTGCAATGGGCCTTCACTGACAGGATTGACAAGATGGTTGAAATTCAAAAGCTCCCCAAACAATGCTTGCACTTAGGGGTTCTTATTTCTCTTTCAAGCGATTGGGCTGGACTTGGGCGGCTATGTTGTTGCCGTCGCCGCATCGTCGCCGCCCGGCGTCTGGGCCGGTGTGCCGCTCTGGCGGCTGTGTTGTCGCCGTCGCCGCACCGTCGCCGCCTCGTCGCCGCCAGTCGTCTGTGCCCGTGTGCCGCTCTGGCGGCTGTGTTGCCGCTGTCGCCGCCCCGTCGCCGTCTCGTCGCCGCCCGTGGTCTGGACAGGTGTGCCGCTCTGGCGGCTATGTTGTCGCCGTCGCCGCACCGTCGCCGCCCGTCGTGTGGGTCTTGCTGATGTAATGCCAAAATCTTCGCGCCTGCTGCGCGCACTTTGATTCGCCACAACATCGGTCGCACACCAAAGATTTAGCATTGCATCGATTGTACAGGTTATATAGAACACAACCACATCGATTCTCCTTCTCAAGGGGAATTCGGATCTACCCCACCCCAGGATTATCTGCCCGCCTTTTCGTATTGCAATGTGCATGTGGTCCTGTCCCCGTCCATCCTAAATCTCAAGTCGTACCATCCCAATGAAACTGGCATCGACACCCCCTTTCCATGGAAAGAGTACTATGCGCTCGCACTCTCTTATAACACATCATCAGCTTTGAAGAAACTCTTGTAGTAAAAAAGCGACTTGCTCACGCGCGCGTTGTCGCGCGCGCATCCCGGAATCATTCAGAAACCGTACGTTCTCGGCAGGTTTCCAAATCGAGTGTCCAGAACACGTGTAACAAACATTCGGTATTGCATCACCAGTTTTCGGAAAATGGTTGCGCGCGCGCTCTTGCGAATTCTGCCGAACCCATTTTGTGTCCAAAACTCTATCAGCTGCGACAAACAGAGCCTCTTGCGCGCGTGTTGGGGGGAAGGCATGATCCGTGTCAAATAAGACGATGCGGGCCATTCGCGCGCGTCGGCCACGCGCGCATGTCGAAATCGTTTTGGATCTTCCATCGCCGACGCGAGGACACAATCATCGTCGGCGGCGTGATCAGCATCGGCGCCGTCATTGGCCGCTCCATCGTCATCGTCATCATCGTCACCACCGTCGCTGCTATCATCTTCGTTTCTACTGTTGTCGGCGTCGCCATGGTACCGCGCCCGCCCACGTCCCTGACTCGCGCTGAAGTGCCCGCGGGTCAGCGCGGCCTGCGAGACGTGTTGGGGAGTGCCCATCGGTCAGCGCCACCGCGATCGCACCGGCCGCGCCGAACAAGTTGGTTGCTGTGCGCGCGAGCATGCGCGGACTAGCGCGGCCGCAGAGACGCACCAGCCAGTGCGCAGCAGCCTCCGCAATCGCCGCCGCACATTGGTTTTACAAACCAAGTTGCGGGTGGGTGAGTGGGATGATTGCGCGAGCATGGGGGGTGGTCTCGTGCGAGAAAATCAAATTCAATGCACCACACAGATCGCACCACATAGTTTGCGCAGCATAGAATGCACATCGTAGGTTGCACAACGCAGGTTGCGCAACATACATTGCAACACGCAGTTTTGACCACGTAAATTTGTCGACATATATCTTCCATCATCCCTTGCCAAGGTATCATGTGCATAGACCTTCCTTTTCCGCAGTTGTTGCCAACGCATTGCATGAAATGGGTCGAAGTGCGCGCGCGAAAAGCCCGCCTGGTCGCATGTGATGATGCGGTCGGAGAACCGATATGTTTTTCAGGTTTCGCAAGAGCGCGCGTACAGACTGTATTGCAGACTGATGTTGCAAATCCAGGTGTTTTACATGTGTTCGGGAAGCGCTACGGCACCTGATGTTTCTGAATGGTTTCGGCATGCGCGCGCGTCGGCGCGCGCGTGTACAGTTCGCCCATGTGTTTGCAAAGTTCGTTGAGCATGGATGATTTCGGATAAGCGAGTACGCGCGCATAGTGTTTTCCGCAGACGCGCGAGGGAGTCAAGGTCAATTGCACCGCACAGATTGCCTCACAGAAAGAGCCCCGCATATTGTTAACAACGCATATGTTTTTTTTGGGGGGGGGGCGTTGGTTAGCAGTGCTGTTTCCAAACTATACGACACATGAAGCAGTTCCGTGCGTCACATGTGCTAAGGTCTTACAACCGGTTCCATGTTTTGTCGTCTCATGAGTTAAATCGTTTTCGTGATGATTGAGACTGTTGCTGGATTTTCTTCTATACGGGATCTTGCGCGTTAAGTCCAATACGCGCGCCCTTGTTTTACAACTGCCAAAATAATTAGATCACAAAGGGTCGTTCCATCGGGGTCCGACCATCAAGGTCTGCCATGGGGGACCGCGCGTGAGGGGCCCTTTCTGGTCTGCCAGGGCGGCCCGCCGTCTTGGGAAGTGGAGACGGGGGGCGAGTTGGGGAGGAGGAGGAGGAGGAGGAGG